CCTTTTCCTGAACGATCGTAAATGCGCGACTCTCGTCGTTGGGGAGCCAGTGTGATGACGACGCCGCCCCTGAAAGAACGACCGGCCACCGAGTCGACCTCGGTCCATGGGATGGCCCGTTACGAGTTAATTAGCAAAATAAAAGGAGCTCCGACGTCCCCAACTACCAAAGGGAGAGAGAGAGAGTGAGAGAGAGAGAGAGAGAGACAGAGAGATCGAGAGAGAGAGAGTAGAGAAGAAGGAATGTAAAAGGGAGCACCGCATTCGATATGGATCTTACTGATCCATCATTATTTTTCTCGATATATTTCACAGATTTTATTGAAACTATTTCGTTGAATGGAATCCATGGTTCTTTATTATTTCTTCCTTTTTTTTTTTGCAATTAATTGTCAGACAAGAAACGTTTAAGGTAAATCTTATGATATTTTCTGCAAGACGATAAATATATTTGGGATATTAAAATTGACGATAGATATCGCACCGTGATGGTCGATTAATGGAACATCTCTGTCAAAAGGATCATTTTAGATAAAGTCGATTTCTTCGGGAGGATTCACGGCTGATCGTTCTGGAATAGATAAAGAGACGATTGGAAAGAAAAGAAATAAGAATGAGAAAGAAGTGGAGAAGTGCTTTATTAAAAGATAAACGTTTCGACCGGTTTATTATTCCGATCGGCGCTTCTGAAACACGAGAAGCGACAATAAAGGATAAGCGCTCGTCGTCGAGTAATGCCGATGGAAGGAACGGCTTAAAGCCCGTGACAAATACGAGCCTGAACGACGACGTACAACGCGCTCTTACGATTTACGATCCCTCCACATTCTTCCTCTCACTCTTTCTTTCATCCTCTTCGTTCTTCCTAGTGCCAAAAGGAACGATCTAATTCGAGGTCTAAACTGCGGCGGTCTCGCAAAAGGAAAGAGTAAAAAAACAGGAAAGAAAAAGGAAAGGAAAAGGAACAAAAACAAAAAAGAAACAAAAAAAAAACAAAAAAAGAGAAGAGAAGCTGGGATAGATCATTCGTCGTGATCATTCGAATGATTTCAACCAGTTTACCACCGGTCGAACGGACGACGCCTTGATTTCAATATAACCACTCGGTACCAATTAGAAACTTTTTACCAAGATCGACGACGGGATCGAACTCGTAGCTACCGAGTAACCAGGCTACTCTTTCTCTCTTCCTCTCGATCCTTGCAAACTCACTCGACGTGTTTTCCGATCTACGCTCGATGCGGCGAACGCAAGAGTAACAGAACTCATGGGCGCCGAAGGAAGACGAGCTCGATACATGCTCGATACTCTTGTTATGGGAAAAAGAAAAATCGATTTCGAGAGATAGAAAAACAAAGAAAGAGATCTCACGGTCCGATCCGAGGAGAGCAGCTTTTCGCGTATGGACTTTTCGGTTTTCTTGTGATCTTCTTATCTTCATTTATCTAAATGGATACTGTTGCACGTTAGATCTTGATTAGACGTTGATCCTGATCAACCAAAAAAGCAATTGGCATATACAAAAAAGTTACATACAATTATAGGATTGAGCCGTATTATTTTAAATTGCTACGATCTGGTAAAAGGTATTATCAGAATTTTTAACCTCGACGCCCATGGTGATCGTCGACGAGAAGGGTGGCCTCTAGTGGACTCACGTGAAGACTATAGAACAAAAATAAATAATCAATAACGTACTACCGCAAGGACCCTTGCAGAGTCTTCCACGTCCCCTGTCTTTCCCGACCGACATCGTCGAGTAAGAAAGAGAAAGAGAGAAGAGTAGTGCGTCGTACACGTGAGAACGAGGCGAGCAAGGTATCTGAAAGGAGAAAGAGTTATACGTTGAACGAGAAGGGAGAAAAAGAGGGGGAGAAGGAGACAGAGAGAGAGAGAGAGAGAGAGAGAAAGAGAGAGAGAGAAAGAGAGAGAGAGAGAGAGGTAGGTACAAAGGGAGAGAGAAATAGGTAGGGAGTCAAGGAACTAGAAATGGATTCCATTTGCGCGATTGAGAAAGAGAGAAAGAGAAAGAAGAGAACGAAGACAAGAAGAAGGAGAGAAAGACAGAGAAAGAGAGAGAGAGAGAGCGAGAAAGAGAGAGAAAGAGACAGAGACAGAGAGAGAGATAAAATAAAGAGGGGGTTGAATAAAAAAGATTGGCACGACGTCGGCTGCGAGAGACACGGCTAGGGCTAACGAGAGACTTTGTAAAAGAGAAAGAGGATGAAGATGGTAGTAAATAAGGAAAGAGAACTCCGATCGAAACAGACTATATACTTAAGTTCCGGCATTATGTTACTAATCGTTGAGGATTGTTTCTATATTGAACATATGAGGTTTTGAATATTTGATATTAATTTAATTATTACAAGACAATAGAAATCAATCGAATAGATTTTTTACATTTAATATTTGTCATTATTATAACGTTATAATTGTAATTTAATATTTTAATAAATTTTGACACGTAGACTTTTTTTTTTTTATTTTTAAATCACTTTCATTTTTACATCCCCATGACGAATATCCATGAATAATAATAGTAAAGAGGGTTAAGGAAACATTGTTTAGCCAAGTTGTGAAAGGGCGAGAATAAGTAATGAGTACGTTGTAGTGGCTTTCTTTCTCTTGTCGAGCAAGGTGCTAGCAAAAACTCGCTCTCGATTCGCCTCACGAATGCTCATCGGTCTCTCAGAAAGAGAAAGAGAAAGAGAAAGAAAAAGAGAGAGAGAGAGACCGAGATATTCGGGAGAAAGGATCCAGCGTATTAATCAAATACACGAGCGATTTGTCTTCGTTACACCCACGATGGCACCCTGATGAGAAGAAGGAGACCCTCGGGAGACATGAAGAAAGAAAGAGAGACAGAAAATTCTCTCCGCCTTCCGATGACCAGGAATCATCATTATTCGTTCGATCAAGCCCTTCTAGCGGATTTCGCGCAAACTCACTACGTATAGCAATTCAACGATAAGCTCGATCGCTCGTTAGTCCCAACAGATCGATTCTATGCACTGATGGTGTTGGAAAAACGATTCGTCTTTCGTGGCCATGAACGTGAAAGAGAACCATCGATTTTCTTCGATCTCTTTCGGAATCACGTCTGTCTCGTGTCGAGTGGATAATTAATTGTACTTTGAGTATTACCTATGTAATGGCAAATTGCACTTTACATTACAGATTAAGTATCTTATAGATTTTTAAAATGAAAGGTGAACGGTCATTGTATCATCGATCTTACCGTAGAGATACGAAAAGAGTGTGAGGGAATGATATTGAACAAGTCTTTCTTCCCTTTAAATATCAACGCAAAGACTTGAGTAACAAGACTCATGTAGGTCCTTTTAACCAAAAACTAAACTACTACCAACGACTATCGGCTACGTCATAAATGTTCATCTCTACGATAGAAAATCAAAGATCTTTTTACTTGGAATTTTTATTGATCCTTTCGTTTTTATTAAATCGACCGAGGATCAAGAATCGTATCGGTCACGTCGTGACACGGGCACACACATTCGTTACACGTATATATAGGGCGGAGTCAGAGGGAAAGGGTGGCGACGAGGAAAACAAGTATAAATAGCGGTCAATAAATTATTCCGGTCACGTACGAGAACGAGTAGCATCTTTAAGGACACTAGCTGAACGGCCGATGTCAGTCGATGTCAGTGATGACGGTCGAGCAAGAGGACGAGAAGGGTGACGAAGGGGGAAGCTACTTTGCCGTCGAACGCCATCCGATATCGTGGAAATGGAAGAGATCGTTCCTAGACCGCCCAGTTACGACAAGGCTCTTTTATCTCTCTTGCTCTCATGGGCACCGTTCTCCAAGTCCACCTAGTTTTTCGCTCTACTACTCGCACGAGAAAAACTCGGCCGATACGTCGACGTAGATCGAGAACAACGCGGGAGATCTACAGGATTTGTCGAAAGCGTGATGGAGTAAGAGAGAGAGAGAGAAAGAGAGAGAGAGAGAGAGAGAGAGAGAGGGAGAGAGAGAGAGAGAGAGGGAGAAGACAAGAGCGCGTGCTCTGTGGCTTTACGGCAAAGGGAAGATCCCGATTTGGATCAAAATCGTGGAGGATCGATCTATCGATCGCTGCAATTACCTGTACGCGTGCACAGTATGTCCAACTCCAGACCGTATTTGATGAACTGTCGATCACCTACGGAGTATTTATTTCTCTATAGGTTTTAAAATCATATTTTAATAAATAAACGGTTAAATCTGACGTCCCGATGAAGGATCGACAGTATCAGAAACTTGCTCTTAAGTTAATTTACATAACACTCGGTACATTCGAATGATCGAAAAAAGTGGATACCTTTTTTATTCGATCAATCTTTCTCGAAGAAAATTCATTAAGCTAAATTACTTGCGATCACGGACAGGACGTTGAAGCAACGTACGAGCTCGTACATATTTTGATAGAGCCGACTTAACAAACGAGCATGGTACTATGGCTAATTAGCTAAATTAACGGGATACAAAGCGTTCGTTATGTCGGTTACAAGGACACCTCGTCGAATTCATTTTCGACGTTCCTTTTTCCCTATGGGCGTTATACATCGCACGCACTGTGCTACCAAAAAGTCTTTTCGTGCATTCACTGGTACGGGTCTCTTGTCCGACGAAATCGAAGCCATTAATCGAGTCTGAGTAAATGAATCGATTTGACATCACGAACAACCCTCGAACCTTGACGCTATGAGTGTATCGTGCCTTTTATCTTTAACATTTTGCCGAAACTCTGAGTTCGAAAACATTTAAAATTCTGTATCCTTTTTATTTATTCCTCATTTAAGATGATCCTTCTTGGAAAGTGGTTTTGGTCAAAGCGAATGAATTTATCGGTTACATGAGAAATGAAAGATAATCGAAAGCACAAAACCGAGTTTATCAAACAATAAAATTTATTAAACTTAATGCTTACTAAGTTATATATTTATCAAATTAATTTATATAGTATTAACGTTTACTTTTATTATATTTACAGGTGAACGACCAAGTCGATTTTATTTAGCGACAGACGAACCTGATCTATCTATGGATCCCAACACGGGAATGTTAAGGATTCGATTACCTCTTGATCGAGAAACACGAGACAAATATATTTTAAGCGTCGAAGCGAGAAACGGTGGTTCAACTGGATATTGTCAAGTGAGTTATTCTTCTCTTTTGGTAATAGGATATCTTTCTAATCCATTTGATTGAAATTATCGTCGTAGTTATATATTTATTCATTCGTTATTTTATTTGTTTATTAGGTCGAAGTATTAGTGGAAGATGTGAACGACAATGCACCCTTCTTTCGAAGCGTAAGCCTACGAATATCAGTACCAGAATCTCATCCCCTTCACACAGCCCTCTTTGTAGCTCACGCAACCGATCGAGATTCAACGCCCTCGTTACCAATCCGTTACGTACTTGTACAAAATAGCAATGATCTCTTTGGCATAGACGGACGAACTGGCGAGCTTTATCTAGCAAGACGATTAGATTACGAGACTCAACAGAGACATGGTCTCCTGATAAGAGCTTTAGATGGTGCAGGACTCTCTGCGAATCTCAGTTTGAGCGTGGAGGTTCAAGATGTGAATGACAACCCCCCAGTGTTCGAGAGGAACGAGTATCACGTGGAGGTTCCCGAAGGCGCCAGGCTCGATTCCCAAGTGAGAAAAATCTTCATTACACGCCCGTCACACGCCCATTTATTTGTCCAGTTGAATCCGTTTCTTTTTCCACGATGTATGGGTGTCCGTATTAAATCGTCGTGTGTGCATGTATACGTATATGTATTTGCGAAGAGAGTTAAAAAGATCGGTGAGAAATCGCAGGAAGATTTTGAATCTTAACGAAGTTAATAACCTCTTAACGTCCGAGTCTCCTTAACTTCATTCTTCTCTTCATTTGGTTTCTTAAAGTCTTCTTCACCGAGTATGTAATTTCATTCGGTGCGAGTTATGTGTTTTATAGATAATCGTCGGACGTCTTCGTATTACGCTTCTGAATTAATTCTTTAGAAAAAGAGAAAGAGAATAAGTCAAACTCTCTAAGAAAGGAATTAGCTAAATCGAGTCTCACTCAAGTGGGATTAGCTTCGATTAACCAAGAGCTTAGATATTGCGCGGAAAGAAATTTTATTTTGAAATTAATAGGAAATAGCATGATCATCCAGATAGAAACGTGAGGCAAGATAGATGTCAGTTCATAGGATTGATAGGTAACAGAGCTCAAGTTAAATACGTACATGATTTTCCGCGCTTGTCCCGATCGAATAAATAATTTTCTTTTTTTTTTTTTCAAATTTAAAACTTCTGTCTTTCGTTTGATATGCTATACGTGAACTCGTATAGAAAGATGATGAGAATGATCATCAACGTGTGCTATCCTCTATTTCTCTTTCAATGATCGTCATCGAAGAAGATCTTTCTACTGGACGGATAGCCTACGGATTTCTCTCGGAATACTAGCAGCGAACAAACGTAATCCCGAATACGAGGATCCCGATGACGAATGACCCTGAGATCTCCGCTGAGAGATATGCCCGTTAAATGACGTCACATTTTTAATACAACGCTCACGAGGGAGCGATAGAAATGGCCTCTGTCTCTTTCTCTCTCTTTCTCTCTATCTCTCTCTCTCTCTCCCTCTCTATCTCTCTTTCTCTCTTTCTTGAACCTTTTCCTTCTTCCTCATTTCGGTACTCGATCTTTCGTTTTATCTTTCTCCGGTGTACACGTATATATCGGTAGTATCTATCGGCGAAACAGATCTGTGAGCTGTCGGTGCTATCTGGACAATATCTTGGCTGGCAGTGTTAAAGAAAGAAAGAGAGAAAGAGAAAGAAAGAGTATATAGCAAGAGTAACTTGGCTGCAGTGAGCGTAACCCTTCACCCGGTGCGAACTAATAACGTACAGTTAGACACATTGCAGGCTGCTCCCACGTCAGGTTTTCTTCTAATGGTACCTCCTCGTCTCCACCTTTAGTTTCATCTCAGAAATCTACCAGATTCGTTTATTTCCTCTAATAGACACACTCATTATTCCATTTTTTCACTTGTTTCTTTTTTTTCTTTTTTTCTTTTTTTTTTTTTTTTTTTTTTTTTGGGTTTGTTTTTCACATAAATTATGATTAACATTCTCGGTGCGCTAAGTTATTACACGTTTTAAAATATACTTATATTCATATTTGATATTTTGAGTTTCATTGACCTTTTTAATGCACGATACTCCCTCACTGAAAAAGATCAACCGGTTCGAATGTGTTTAGGGTTCGCGGGGTCCTGGAGGAAGTGTAATTAATACGGAACGACCGGATTGACGAGAATCTTCTCTCTCTCTCTCTCTCTCTCTCTCTCTCTCTCTCTCTCTCAATCTCTTCCTCTCTTCCCCATATTCCATTCGATACTTTTTCTTTCTTCGTATAAGGCCGCTCGTACTATGAGAAACATTTGACTAACACGTTTGAACCTTCGTTTGATCCTTTATAACATCCGTTTAAGAGGACTTAACATATAAATTTTCTTTTTATAATCAATCTCAAATACCAAAAAGAAAATTTAATGATTTGTATTCAATGACTTCTAACGAATAAATCTTTTTTACAATGACGTTAATTTTATTCCCAATAGATTCTTCAAGTTACTGCAGTGGATCTCGACACAGGAAACAACGCGAGATTGAGTTATCGTCTCCAGGGTTCCACGGCGTTTCGCATTAGTCCAAACACCGGATGGATTTACCTGGCGCAGGTGCTCGATCGTGAAAGCGTCGATCGGTACGCGTTAACAGTATTGGCAACGGACAACGGTTCACCTGCGGCTACAGCGAGTGCCTCTGTTCTCGTATCCGTTCTCGATGACAATGACAATGAGCCACGCTTTGAGAAAGATTTTTATGCATTTGAATTATTGGAAAATCTACCATCCGATACTATCGTTGGTTCTGTCAGTGCAACCGATTCTGATCTTGGCAAAAATGCTCTACTTAGATATGCCATCGTCCAGGTTAACAGTAGCTTCTCTGTGGATCCTGATACAGGTAAGAGGAAATATTGTTTTTTCATTTTTTTTTTGTTTTCTTTTAAAATTCAAAAAGGAAAAAGGATCCATGGTACATTTGTAATTCATATCTCCATCACTAATCTCTAGTCTGATTACACGGTTTAAATTTTCTATCATTGAGATCGTGCGAATAGAATATATACACGTCGCCTCTCTTTCGAAAATTTATTGCTAATTGGATACTCTTAAGTGAACCATTACCCCACAGCTATCGGCGTATAGCTTAAAGATTCTTAAAGATCTTGAAAGGAGAATATAAGAAGGTATCGTTGACGAAGAAATAAAGTATCCCAGAAATAATTTTGCGGAAGTAATCTCATCGAAATGATTCTTCAGGTCAATGATCCGATTCTCTTATCTTTTTTTATCATTATAAACACTTTAGTATCTATTTCTATTCCATCATCTTAATGGACATTTTATATTGCCTCATCTATCGTTAAAATGCCACAAAAAGTGTTGGGATCGTAAACTCGAGAATCTATAAATTTTCGAAGGCTCTCAAAACCACAAATGATTGCAAAAAAGTGTTAATATTTCGGCATAAAAATAATATATAATCGTTTCTTAACTTTGTATCTAACGATGTAAAAAGACGACGTTGATTATTTTAAATTATAGTTTGCGAAAGTGTCGAGTAAGTTCGACGATAAATGACGAGCAAAATCTTTTCATCGGCTTTCCTCAACAAAAAAGAAATTTCAGCAAAGAAAGTATCTTGAAAGCTTTCTTCGATCTCTTCTTTACACTTGATATTGTCTGGCCCTATCAATGGATAATTACGGAACAAATTTAGCGAGACGATTCGATTTTATTTCTCCGTGTTAATTGCAACGACAGAATGTCTTGGTAGGAGGTGGGGATTGTGTCATTAACAAGGATGCGTACTTCATTGCGAAGTGCAACGCGAAACGCATCCTTTCGAGTAACTGTGAGCGTTCTCGAAACGACACGTAATAAGATGCAGTGAGTGAGATAGCATGTGCTCGCGATCGCGTACGTGACGCTTTTTGCCCTTTGCATTCGTGTATCCTCTGGGTCATGGGTATCAGAGTATAATCTCGTAAGAGGTGGTGCTTTTGCTTCATCGGCGTGTAACGAATCATCGGAAACTGGCCCAAGAATTGCCTGCGTGCAAGTATATATATACCTTTGTATATATGTATGTGTTTGCGCGTGTGTGTGTATGTGTGTGTGTGCGTGCGAGTCCATCCTTCTTTCTATCTTTCTCTCTTTCTCGTTATATACCTTTGATTGGCATGCGATGTAAAAGTATTTGTGTATATTCTTAGTACGTGGCAAGACCAGACCCTGGCATTCTTTGCGAAAAGAGAAAGAGAAAGAGAGAAGTGGGGGGTCTCGTCGGACTGCCTGTTTGCGCTCGATGGAAAAAGTTAAAATAAAGAGGAGGATCCTACACTTGCCGGAAGGATCGGTCCGCTCCTCCACGGGTATTTATATGTTAATCCTTCGACAAAAGATGCTCCTGCGTCGTTCTTACGACTTGAAATACGAAATTAAGACGACGAGGAAATAAGACGAGATGAATTCTTCTTTTCCTTTATTCAACTTTACGATCATGTAAAATAGTTTACAATAGTACTTCGATGGATATTTTATTTCATAAAAAAAAAAAAAAAAAGAAAAATATACAAAATAAATTCTACGGAGGACTATTTTTTTCTTCTTCTGGTTTAAATGTACAATCTTAACATAATCTTTCAAAGTCCAAACAAACGAGAATGGATTCAGGTCGGTAAGCAAAACGAATATTCCCAAATATTGGGAAGGATCGTATGCCATGGACGTAAACGAGAAGGGAAGGGAGGGAAAAGCGAAAAGGTTGGGTCCCACGGCTAACACGAGAAACGCATTAGCACGCGTCCTACGATATACTTCTTATTGTTCCGCGATGGTATCCCTCGATGCCGGCGCGTTTGCATGTTTCTCGTCGATCGTTTGTCTTGTCGACGAGGTGGAGGACTACGAACGAACGACGTCGACGACGTTTCGGCCGGGTGTGCGCGAAGGGTGAAGAGAAAGGGAGAGGAAAAGAGAAGGAAACAGGGACCTAGCTACGTCGAGAATTCGTCGAGGCACGCGAGGATCTTTTTTCTTTCTCTTTCACTCTCTCCTTCTCTTCACGAATTATTATCCCGATCCTTTTTCAGATCCTGGAATAGTTCTGCTGGCAGACTAGGCGCTTCCTTAATTACCCATTAATACGCAGACCGGTCGAATGGACAACCTGCACTCTCTCTCTCTCTCTCTCTCTCTCTCTCTCTCGTTCACTCTCTCTCTCTCTCTCTCTCTCTATCTCCATCTTACTGTCTGTAATTTTTTTCCACTTTTTTCATCTTTCTTCTTTAGCTTTCGTAATTACAAGGATGCTCGTTACGAGCGATCCTACGTACGTCCTTGAAACGGTTATTATATGCGCGAGAAAAGTCACTTACATATAGAAAGAAAGAAAGAAAGAGAGAGAATATCTGAGAACATCACAAGAGTGACGATTATCCAATTAACCATACCTGGCGAAGAAAATTGATAAAGTCTTTCTCTCTTTCTTTCGTGTTTGTCGTACATACTCCATTTTATTGCCACAATCTCTTTTTATTCCTTCTAAGGTTAATGTTGGGAATTTGTAACTGAGAATCGCGTTAGTCTTATCGTAGGAAACGGAGACGTTTTATGTGATGAGTTTAAAGTCGACGATGATGTCCACATCCCTCAAGATCGCTATTACCCGTAAACGTAATCGATTTCATCACGGTTTACTATGAAAATGGAAGTTGCATTAGAACTTATCTATCTCATTAGACTCGATAGAGAATATATTTAATAACGACAGAAAAATTCTATCTTATTTTAATTCACATCCGCTTGCGAATTACCTCGGAAAGTGGTATATAAAATTGTTCAATCTTAGAACATAAGTCGTCCTTTTAGATGAGTATAACTATCCTTTCGAAATTGAGACTGACGAACGAATTCCTTTTTGTACCTGGTCATAAATATTCTACGTCGTTCGAATACTCGTTCCTTTGAAAGGAAGAAACGAAAAAGATAAGAAATCGCTAACGGATTGTTAAACAGTCCGTTATAACGGTGGAATTAAATGATTTCTTCGTTATCAATTATCATAATTTATTTATTCACATTTTTCATAATAATTTTCAGGCGAGATCACGACGCGCGAGCCTCTTGATCGCGAAAAGAAAGGATCGCATGAGTTAGTACTCGAGGCAAGAGATCAGGGGACACCTTCGAGGGCAGCTAGAGTGTCCTTGAAAGTGACCGTGCTCGACGTTAATGATAATTCGCCGGAGATCGTCGATCCTCAGGGTGATGTCGTCAGCGTGAGAGAAGAGCAACCACCTGGAACCGAAGTGGCTCGAGTTAGGGCCTTGGATACCGATCTCGGTGAAAATGCATCCGTAACTTACAGTATTTTGAAAGGTGAGTATATCTCTTTTGAAAAAATATTCTCTGTCTCTTTCACTCTATTCTTCCTTCTCTCTTTCTCTCTCTCTCTCTCTCTCCCTCCCTCTCTCTCCTTCTGTCTCTTTCTCTCTTACTCTCTAGTTATCTATGATCCTGAACTTCGCTTTCGTTTCATTCGCGATATTCGATCATTGTCCAATTACGATTATCTCGGAACGAGCTGAAAGCTTTGCAGTCGCTAATTACGAGAAACGAGAGTGAAAGGTAATAATAATGTCTCGTAGTTTACTGGCTACGAAGCTGTTACTTGTTCTTTATTATCGACCAAAGGGTTGGACTTCTTAACGCTTTAATAGCCAAAGCGCAATTACCGAAACGATTATGCATGGCTTTAATGGTAAAGTTAAGTGTTTTTGTCTTACAACATCCAGCAGCAATATAGTATCGATTAGAGAACGTCGCCGCAAGACATTCGTAATAACGACGATCGGAAATGAATTTTCTTTCAATGCGTTTAAAAACATTGCTCAATGCCATTTTCAAAGAGCAAAATCTCGAAAGGAATTGACAGTGATGGTCCATACCTTTGGCTTATTTATTTAATTTATTCAATATTCGAGTTTTTTCATTGAGATAATTTAATAAATGAAACACTTGAAAAAATTTTTGTTTATTTTTTGATTGTCAATGGATCGCTTTAAATTCTACCATAGATCGCGACTCCGATGGTTACAACGTTTTCACGATCGACCCGATCACTGGCATGATCAGGACCAAGGCCGTTCTGGATCACGAAGAACGCAATGTATACCGGGTGTCTGTGAAGGCAACGGACGCTGGCCGGCCGCCACGACACAGTGTCCGTGCTTTGAGAGTCGAGGTCCTGGCACTTGCCGATAACCGGCCGACCTTCACCAGCAGCAGTTTTACCTTTAACGTGAGTACCATACGCTTTACCGCACGATAGAATTCGTTCTTGCCTCTTGTACTTCCTTCCTCTCTAACTCTAGTTCGTTCATCGTGACAGCTATACCTAGCGAGAAAATTATAAGAGTGTAATAGTTCGAGTTAACTTTTTGATACCGTATTTACCTTTATTTTCATCGTGTCCAGTTAAAAAAAAAAAAAGAAAAAAAAAAAAAAGAAAAAACTAAGAAATTATTAAATAATAACTGATAATTCGTCATATCAAAAGATTGCGATAGTTTCGAATGAAAATGAAAAGTATGATCTTTAAATAATTTCATAGGTATGCGAAGATGCTAATATCGGACAAGCTGTAGGATCGGTATCAGGAGCAGGGCCAGCAGGACGTGTGGCCTTCACCTTGCATTCGTTAACGCCCATCAGTGAATTCCCAGCCTTCGACGTAGATCGAGGTTCAGGTCAATTGGTGGTCGCTCATTCGCTTGATCGCGAAAACGTGAGCGAGTATCATCTGGAGATTCGTGCGTTGGACACAACGTCAATCGGAAATCCTCAAAGTATTGCAGTTTCGGTGAAGATCGTCATAGAAGATGCCAATGATAATCCACCTCGTTGGCCACAAGATCCGATAACGGTTCGAGTCTCGGAAAAGGCTATGATAGGCTCGACGATTTATAATCTAGTAGCTACAGACTTGGATAGCGGTTTGAATGGTGATCTAAGGTACGGCTTGGTAGCTGAATTTCCTTCGAGCGGTGGTTTCGTCGTTGACTCTCTTACCGGTGCCTTGTCTCTTACGAAACCTCTTGACAGAGAAGAAAGAGCAGAATATACTTTGATTCTTAAAGCTTCCGATCGTGCACCACCCGGTGAACAATTGGCATCAACCGTTACTGCCAGAATCATGGTCCTTGATCAAAATGATAACGATCCTGTTTTCGTCGCTCCAGAGACAACTAAAATCGCTGTCACTTCGGATGTCTTACCAGGCAAGTACAAATTTAGGAATATATTTTGTTTTTCTCTCTCTCTCTCTCTCTCTCTCTCTCTCTCTCTCTTTTCATTCATTTTAAATATATAAAATTCTTATCGATTTATATCATTCAATCTAACATTACAGGAGCGACTTTGGTAAGAGTGGTCGCGGTAGATAAGGACGCAGGTGACAATGGTCGAGTATCTTACGTGATTACATCGGGAAACGACGAAGCAAGATTTTCAGTAGGTTATGAGTCCGGTATAGTCAGTCTCACGAGACCCATGATCCGACCCACGGAACTTGAGATCACGGCCAACGATCACGGATCACCGCCACGCAAGGCCACCCTGAAGCTGACCTTGACCCTCGCCGCTGGACAGACCAGAGGACCTCCTCGACTACTGCTTTCCAATCCTGTCGCTCGAATCTCCGAGGATCTTCGAACTGGCGCGTCCGTTATGGACGTTGCTGGACCAGCCATCCTCGATCAAGGTAGGAGATCGCAATGATAATTTATTTCAATAGTCTATAGTAGCCTTCAGAAAATTTGTCGAGGCATTTAAATCCCTTTGATAAATGATAGTTATCCTTTTCAACATTGTTAAAGGAATTAATCGAATTCAAATGGCAATTTTTTTTGATTAAAAATAAACAAGATATTACAGTGATCAAGTTGTAATCTATTCGTACTTTTCTTTTTCACTATCTTCTCAAAATGAACACATCACTCATCATCGTTGAGTTCTAGTTGAAATTACAACCTCGGATATACTATCTTTCATCTTTTTCCCTCTCAATCTCGATCCTCTTGATCTTCGTTTCTTTTAGCAAAGAGATGTACTCTCTTGGTATACTCTATAAGACGCCACCTACACGTACGGACACGCGAAGGGTACATAATCGGAGACCTCGTCCACGAAGGATGTCCGTTCTTGGCTAATAGAAAAGCCCTGCTATGAAAATACCTCGAATAATTGCCTTGATTCCGACCGGTACAAAGCATTATAGTAAATTCAACGAAATGACTCGCGGGACTTCGTTGAGTTTAAGAACGCGATTCCGTCGTATCCTTCCTTCTCACGAAACTTCATTTTTCTTCGATAGAAATTAAAAAAAAAAAAAAAACAAAAAAAAATATTTTGTATCGTACTACCTATTTAATAAATAATCTTGATCGTTTTTAATATATTGATTAGCTTAAACTTAGACATAAAATTAAAAGTCATTGAAAATATTCGTTCATTTATTTATATAAAATTTTGTCTTTGAAAACAAATCGAATGAATTAAAAAACGATCGCTATTAATTCTCATCTTTCTCTTTCTCTCCTTTTACACGTAAACACTATGGGAATCGTGTTGGTAGGATTTATGAAAGAGAGAATAGGAATCCTGGTAGCTAAGCTCGATACTTAGTAGCCGAAGCAAAGTGCTTGGTAGTAAGCTCGGACAACATAGTATATCGTTCGTTTTGCCCCTTATCTATAGGGGCGCTCGTGTATCAGACGAGCGCATTAGCGCACCCCGACAGAAGCGCCAAAGCCGCGATGTTCCGAAGGACGAGTATTACAAGGGGGCAGAGAAAGAGAGAGAGATAGAGGGTTGGTGGAGGGAGAAAGCTAACGGGCGAAGCAAACGGGGCAAGGGAAAACAATGGCCGCGTATATCATCGTGCCGCCAAGCTGCCGCCAAGCTGTACGCATAGGCCATAGGGCCCATAGGCAAATCACCAAGCAAACACACAGACAACGACACACACACACACACACTATCGTCTACGATTCTTTCTTTCTCGCATTCGTGCCTGTTCGTAGGTGTGTACACGCAAAGTTTATACCAGTAGGTATATAGGTACCTACCTATCACTGGCACGCACATGCTACCAAACGTGTTTAGCCTTCGCTTTGTTCTAAAACCGCTAAAAATCGACACGAAGATAGCCCGATTTCTTCGTCCTTTGGAATTTGAGCTTCGAACGTGTTTGTCTCCTTTACTCTTCTGGATATACCATGGAAATTTTTATCTTCAAAGAATACCTTTCCTAAAGGATATCTCAACAAAGAAAATATCATCTATTGATTATCCATTTCAATTCGTCGTTCGAATCGAGTATACTCGATTTCTTTTCTAATTATATTATATTCTTTATTTTAAACTCGCCGACTTGTATGCAAAGTAGGTTACAAGTGCATCGACATTGAATTTCGAAATAAAAGAAAAATATTGAAGGAGAGAAAAAGAGAGAAATGCGTGTTCAAGAGAGAACTACATATTACTTTATCCCGGCATTAAATTCTTTCGACGTCTCGCACTCCTCTCTTTTTCTTACAAGATCTTTTGCAAAACGTGGGAATTCGTGGGGACTCGTGTTTCTTTTAATAAAAAAGGAAAGAAAGGAGGCGAATGAGATACGGGAAAGAAAAACACAAGATCCTCTTCTTTCGACGAGGCCACCCAAATTCTTCTATCGAACAACGAGTGTTACCTTCTCGTCGATGTCTTATAAAATTTCTCCAACGGCTAATTCTTATCGATATTAATACTGTTTCCATGATATGCGAACAAATGGAAAGAGAAAATTTTTTTATGTCATCGCAAAAGATATCAAATGATAAAAGGATCGCATAGAGAAAGGAATTTCGTAAAAGATGTAAGTTGTTCGATTTTTCAAAGGAGTGGTCAAGCTAGATGTGTGTTTTATTTTCAGCAGGTGAATTCATCCTACTGGTATAGTTACATTCTGAAAAGATAAAGCAGCTGTTTATAATCCCAATCGAATTGAAAGAGATGCTTATCTAATTCCTCTCTACCTTTCTCTCTCTCTCTCTCTCTCTCTCTCTCTCATTTTGTTTTTCTTTTATTGTTATCGATATCATTAGAGAATGCTTCGCTTCTTCTAGGCAACATCAGCTTCAGCATACCGACAAACGTGGCCGCAGATAAGTTCGCTATTTCACCGAGCGGCCTAGTAACTCTTCGAGGATCTTTGGATCGAGAAGAAGTTTCGCAATATTACGTACCGATTGTCGCTAGATCATCGAAACTTTTGGATATCACCACGTTGGAAGTTAAAGTTTTGGATGAAAACGATAACAGTCCAAAATTTCGTGCTGGATCTTGTTATACTTTGGCTATACCAGAGAATGAAGAGAATTCCATTATTCATACTATTGCCGCCATGGATATCGACGAAGGAAAAAATGGAGAACTTCATTATAGCATAATCGGTAAGAATTACTCTAAAAATAGACGATCTTACGTATAAATTAGGATAATTATTAAAAGTTTCTCTTCTTTTCTTTATCAGGTGGCAACATCGGAAATAAATTTACTTTGGATTCCTCGTCTGGTGCATTATCGATGATCAATCTTGACCGAGAAACTGTACCAAAATACGTTTTAACTATATCGGCAAAAGATAAAGGAAGACCAAGTTTAGAAGCTCGTTGTAATCTCACGGTAATTGTTCTCGACGTGAACGATAATGCACCGATCTTTTCACAAAATCAATATACGGAATCTCGTCCTCGTGGTGCACTTCAAATCGATTATAGCGGTTATAGTCTCTCTGGTGGCTTTCAATATGGATCTTCGAATTATCCGACGAGTTATCATCCTGGAAAATACATAGCAACCATCTCGGAAGATGCCGCACCGGATTCAAGCGTTATGTCGGTGAGAGCAACTGATCCTGATCAAGGTGTCAATGGGAAAATAACTTATGCGATTGCTGAAGAAAATAGTTGGTTGTTCAGGGTTGACAATTTAACTGGTGTCATAACTACTGCTGGGTGAGTACCATCCTATTTAACGATCACAATTTTCTTTTTTAACTACAATATCACAATATTTCATTATATATTCTTAATGACAATTGAAAACCATAACAATCGTAAATCCATTCTGATAATCAATGAAAATGTATGATGCTCGTATAGAATAGATATAATAATACTTTTTCGATTCACGCGTAATCTCTTTTTAGAATACTCGAACCTCCTATAGGAAAAAAACGAACAACCAATCGTATTGATAGATCAAACAATTAAAACGTCCAATTTGCTTTATGACTTCTAAAGAATTTCATCCGATGAGTTTCTCTCTCACACACACACACACACTCTCTCTCTCTCTCTCTCTCTCTCTTTCTCTCTTTCTCTATCTTGTACGTACAACAGTCTAGAACTTGTCTAGCTCGTACCAAAGAACGTATCTTCGACCAATTTCATCCAAGCGTTAATTGCCGCGACCTTTATTGCGCGATTAGGATCATCATGGAAGGATATTACGTCCGTAATGCTACGTCGTAAAACGTGGAAGCAAAGAGAAAGAGAAGCAAAGAGAGAGAAGAAGACAGAGAGAGACAGAGAGAGAGAGAGAGAAAGAGAGGGGAAGAAATATAGAGAGAAGGAGAAAGATAAAGATAGGCGTAGACTGTGAAAGGTAGACAAAGAGGAAAGCTACTCTCAAGGAATGAAGAAGTCCGGTGATACGGAGAGCGGGGGAGAATGAACGTAGAAAATGTTCTTAGGAAAGTCGTAAAATTATAAAGTCCACTGATGTGCCTCGCTATTGTTGTATTGTAGCCGATTAGATGATTCTGTATGCATAAGCTGTTCATGCAACTCGGGAACGAGAGAGATGAGAAAAAAGATGCTGGCTTTTATCCTCCTTCTCTTTCTCTCTCTCTCTCTCTCTCTCTCTTTTTCTTTATTTCCTTATTTATTCTATATCTTTTAGGGATCCGTAGTAATACTTTCCTCTTTTATCTTTTCTTATTTCGATAGCTAAGCAACAAACTCATATCTCGGGATGTCGTTAAAACGAAAAGATTTTTTCACGGCTTCCGTCTTTCTTATGGTTCACGGTAAGGTCACGTTTCGCTAATTAATTGATGATTTCAACATAAACGCAATGAACTTTGATCTCAGCCTTGCGGTATGTCGGTCTTCATAGAGTTTTTGTCGTTAAACGTTCGTTGATAATAATGTTCGATCTGGCATCGTAGGCTTCATTCGAATATTTAATTATACGTTGAAAGGAACAAAGAGAAAGAAAAAAAGAGAAAGAGAGAGAGAGAGAGAGAGAGAAAGAGAAAATCTTTGCTGGTAAAACCTTCCGTGAACGGTGCACGCTTTTAACGATCGTATCTTGCTCACGGGCGATCCATAAAGATAATCTTTAAGATAAGGTAGATATCCGTAAGAGATTCTCTCTCGTGCCGTCGAGTTGTTTACTTAGAACGAATGCTCAACTTACGCATAATGAAATCGTTTCTTCGTTAAACCGAATACCAAGTCGAATTGTACTTATCAATAAATTCCTTCGTACTTGGAAAAGCACTAGAGAAGGATAGAATTTTAATGTATTTTTATTTAACACGAGGCATTAAAGGTAACACAAAAAAATTTCCGTCGTATTACGTGTCACAGACCTAATTTAGAAAACAAGGGGTTAATCCAAACCAAGCCGGACACTCGTTAGACCTTTTGTTTATTAATCCACGTTTCTCAAGAGCCTCATACTCCTCTTGTCTCTTCTTCTTTCGTCTCTTTAGAAGACGCTCAACGGTGCGAGCGAAGGTAGAGAAAGATCGACCGTAACAAGACGGAACGCGAAGGGGTGGGGGAAGAGAGAGAGAGAGAAAGAGTAAGAGACAGAGAGAGAGAGAGAGAGAGAAGGGGATGGTATTCGTAGCTGCGAAGGAGGAAGGCAAGGGCGTACTTTTGCGGCACGACAGCCGTGTGTCATTTCAGCGGGACACCATGTGGCATTTCAATGCATTATTTCAACCGGCAAAAAGGCTGATATGCAAAACGAGATCCCTAGTCCGGTTGGTCTCTTACCGTCTTCCTTTCTCTCTCTCTCTCTCTCTTTCTCTCTTTCTCTCTGTCTCTCTTTCTCTTTCTTTCTTTTCAAACGATCAGTAGCCAGCCAAGCCGCACTTTCGTATCGCGTTGTTACTGTTGTTGCCGTTATTGTTGTTGTTTCCACTGTTGTTACCTTTGAAAGCTAACAGCGTCTACCGCCACCCTGGGCAACTCGAAGGTGTATAGAATATTCTCCTTCTTCGTTCGTTTTCTGGACCACCCGGTAGATACAACGTAAATTCTTCAGTCGGATCTGGTCCTCGTTAGATCGACGAGATAGTATGGATTCGACGCATGATCGGAGTTCATCCGATTTTGCCAGTATGATTTGGACAAAGCTCGTGATCTTCTCTTCTTATTTCTTCTTGTCTTCGTCGGTGTCCCCTTCGAAGAAAAGTTCTTCGCGAAGCCATTAACGCTCGTGCCGAGTCAAAGGGGACACCGAAATACTTTGTAAGCTATCTTGATCTCATGCAACTCGAGCAGCCCATTTAGAACGATTTGCTTGGGGTTTGGCTAACGAGGTAAAACAGACGAGAGAAGTTTGTATTTTACGTAAGAAGCAATGACGACAACGAGGAAAAAAGGAAAAGGGTTTATCGGGAATTGAATCGATCACAGTTCGAAAATGATAATTCACGCATTCCTTTTCTGCGAGTCCATACGATTAAAGACGCGTATCGGTCCAACAGCATCCACCGCGGTGGATCAGCAGAGTTATGGTAATGGTGGACGTGGATTACACAAGATCGCCGTGCGCGATTAAGGTTTCCGTCACACAAACAAGCTACCCGCCACGGAGCCGCCATCTCCTACTTAAATCCGGACTTCCATAACCCCCGTCGACGTTTCCCTTGTCGATTCGTACTATCGCTTATTTCTCGATGAATCGCCCAATGAGAACTTACGAATGACAGAAAGTGATAAATTCGAGCCATATTCGGTGTGACATATTTTATCGTATTCCAAGTTTTACCGTGTTAACAGTCGATTATGAGTGTATGAAACGTATGTACTCCTTGACAAAAAGCAAGAACCTCTTAGGATAGTATTTACTTAAAGTGTAAGTATCTTTATTGGTAATTTCAGACCGCTCGATCGAGAACGTCAGAGTTCGTTCAACTTCCTAGTCGTAGCAACGGACAGTGGAAAATACGACGCAAAGAGCACGTCGATACCGATCGAGATCACCATCACTGACGTAAACGACAACGCTCCGGTTTTCGAGGAATATCCGTTCCGTGCTAGAGTATCTATAGGTACTCAACCCGGTCAGAATATTCTTCGAGTCGTTGCAAAGGACGCTGATCAGGGTGCCAACGGAGAGGTCGTTTATTCATTTTTGCACGAACAAGAAAAACCAAAATTTCGGATACATCCAAGTACGGGAGTAATCACGGCAACTTTGTCATTATCTCAAGACAACGGAAAGACCTATCGATTGGAGGTCCTAGCACGAGACAAAGGAAATCCACCAAAAAGTGCTAAAGGTCTGATTGAGGTTCAAGTAGGAGAACCAGCCGATTTAGCGCCAGCTCTCAAATTCCAAAATGAAACCTACGACGTGGTGGTCCAAGAAAATTCCTTATCTGGTACCGACATCGTTCAGATAACTGCGGTTCGTTCTGACAGCAGGAGACAACACGTGTCCTATTCGATAGGATCTGGAAATGACTTTGGTACATTCGCCATCGACGAAGATACAGGATTATTACGTGTGAATGATCCAAGTAGACTGGATGCCGAGCTTTGGAACGATCTAACGGTGAGACCAAACGACGAACAACCCGACGAAGGCCGTACGAATGCCTGGGGAAGATCTCTTGAGAATCAACAGCCTAAGGAAGAACCGAGAGAGAGTTCAAAGCACACGCTGACTGTCGTGGCTAGAACGACGGGACCGGATTCCCTGGAGGCCTATGCCAAGGTCGTTGTCAGGGTCTCCGACGTGAACGACAATCCACCGATCTTCACACAAACGCAATACTCCGCGACTGTACTCGAGGGTAACACTAAAGGAGATTTCGTGGTCAAGGTAAGAGAAAAATCGAAAGTATACTGGGTGATATGTTTTAACGGGAATAGAAAGAAAAAAAAATTATTTTAAAGTTAAAATGAGAAACTTAATACGTATACTCCTTTATTTTATAATTATTTTAATATTATAGCTATCAGCGAGCGACGCGGATCAAGGATTGAACAGCAGAATTCTCTATCACATTGTTGACGGTAATCCCGACAATGCTTTCACCATCAGTCCACCTTACAGTGGAATAGTTCGGACCAATATAGTACTCGATCGTGAGATCCGCGAGAAGTATAGATTAACGATCATTGCTACCGATCAAGGAAACCCACAATTGACTGGCACAGCGGCTCTTAGCGTCAGAGTAATCGACATCAATGACAATCATCCAACCTTTCCCGAACACAACATTATCTCCGTATCCGAAGGTAAGTAAAAAAAAAAAAAATAAAAAATAAAAATAATAATAATAATAAATAAATAAATAAAAGAATAAAGAAAAAATATAAATTCGGAGACTCGTCGTTTACTAAGGCAGTCACTAAGAAGTATTTTCTCAGAGATTTATAGGAAGACGTGGAATACCGTGGCCCGTTTCGATACGGCGCAGTGCACAGTGATTAGCTTCTCCTTTACCACCCCACGCATATGCTGTAATAGCTTAATTACCTTGCTTTAATTAGCCAATAAAGTGGAGCGTTGGATATGAGCAAAGGATATATAAGCAGAAATTCCCTGTCTCTTTCAGGAAAGAAAAAAGAGAGCCTTTTTAACGATTCGACGCGCGTACATCTCGCGTTACGAAGAGGTTGTTATTAAAGGGGCGAGTTTCCAGTTTCCAGTCAAGCTCAGTGTGCCTTATTAGCTTACAGTAAAATCATAAGACTTGTCTCCCAGATAATTTACTCGTTAATCGATCCGTTTATAATAAAAGATTTTAAAAAATAATAGAAATTTTAGAATGAACCACGATCGTATTACATCATATTCGTTATTACCTATAAATTATGACATATTGATATATCATTCAATTCTTTTTAATTAAATTCTCCTCGTTAGGAGAGATTTCACGAAGTTTGCCAGTAGCAAATTCCGTGTTCAATCTACGACAAGGGCCGACCGAAGTAAATACGGTTCGGGTTTCAATCGTCGGCCTCGCGTGCTCGTCTTCACGTGCAGGTCTCTCGAAATCTAGCCGCTCCTATGCGGCGGCAGGTTAACCGGTCGCAAGGTCGCCCACGCGAAGAGAGAAAGAGACGTTCATGCAAGACGAAGTGTGGCACAGTGATCCCTGTGCTAAGAACCAAGAAGCAGAAAGGATCTCGTCTCGTGCAACAGAAAGAGAGAGATGCTTATATATATATATAAGCATCTCTCTCTCTCTCTATATATATATATATATATATATATATATATATATATAATGCAGCAAAAGAGCGAGAGAAAGGGTTAGGTAAAGAAGGATGAAAACGTAGAAAGAAAAGGTAGAGAAAGAAGAGGTACTACGAAGTGAGGTGGGAGTACGCTTTGCTCTCCAAGTATAAAGTTAAGTGGTAAAGGATTTATGCTGGCATTAAAGTCCGACTGTTCGGAACAATCTGCATAACTTAGGGCACGCTGCCGATGCGGGTTTCGTGGCTAACCATTTCTCTCCTTCTTCGACGTCGTCCCTCCTCTTCCTCCTACCCTCCTACTCCATTCACTTTCCCTCTCCGGAGTTCTTACTTGACGGATACGATTCAATGTTCTTGAACGTGTCCCGATCGAATTTATTTGTAATGTACATGAATCGAAAGAGTAGAAACACCCGATTGGTTTATTCAATAATATTAACAATTCATAAAGTACGTGCCAAGAAAATAATGGAACACATCGAGAAAAGAAAATAATAAAATGAAAGATATATATATATCTTTCTAAAGATATATATATATATATATATATATATATATATATATATATATATCTATATATAATTCCAAGAGAACAGAAAATAAGGTCTCGTAATCGTTCGTTTAAGAACAAGACTATCTTCCTTTCCTTCGTCATGAAGAATCCCGATAACGATCTTATAATTTGGATGATCCTTAATTCAACTCCATGCTAATTGTCGAGACAAGTAAACGAGGCTTACCCTCTCCACATACGTATTCCTTTTCCACCTCCTCGTCCATCCTCCCCCTTTTTTCTTCGAAAACCTCGAAGCCTTTCTTCCACCATCCAAGAAGAAGCTCGCGCGTTTGTGTACTCACGCGCCGATGGCGTAACGCGAGATTACTATCTAATTTGTATCGCCATAAAACTTGAAGCCGGTGTAAACGAGGCTACCTACCACTTCTGTCCGCGATGCCGTGCCCGATAGAATTTATTTAACACCGCCCGCACTCGTGCACAACGAAAGGGGACTCGTACACGGAAAGGAGGATATCCCGGTAGCGAGTTAGCGCCGCGGATCTTTTCAGCCACCTGCAAGAACGCCGTAGAAATGTCACTCGGACGAAAGGGGGTCTGATTAAGGACCGATTAAGAATCTCCTCTGTTCTCTTCGTAAAACCTTAAGCTTTCTCTTTCTCTCTTTTTCTTTCTTATTCTCAAAGACGGTCTCATCGTACGATTAATAAAGGAAAATACTATTCGTTTAATTCCCAATAATTTTCCTCGTTACAAGACTTGAAACGATAAGCGATAGAAATTCGATTATCTTTATAGGATTTTAATTCGTGAGGAGATCGTTTTGCCCCTTCGGAAAATATGTTCGATGCAAAGAACATATCGATACCTTAGCCTTTTTGCTTCACTCTCTCTCTCTCTCTCTCTCTCTCTCTCTTTCTTTCTTTCTTTTTCTCTCTGGTTCTCTCAGGATTTCCTGCGAGCGTAAATCCCCAACGTCGAGGCGATAATCATTAGGGTCTCTCGAAACGGAAATCGTCTCTATCGTGTCTCGAATGGCTACCCGTACGTACCTTTCGCCGGTACGCAACAAGGTCGAATTTTAACGTGGCACGTAGTAATCGTTCTTTATTACCCCGCCCCGGAATAAGAAATTTAATTACCCGTTGCCTTAGAATAAGAGGCGCGGTCGGTGCTTGATAACTCGGAGACTCGCTCGGGTTCTTGCTTGGAGGGCCTTCCACGTGCGCCCATAGCGCGAGCGCGCGACCCTAACGCCAAGGGAGGATTTAATCGAAGGCATCGATCGATTCCGAAAGTAGCATTGACATGAGATATCGAAACAATGGTAGACCACCGACGAGTAGATTTTCTTCCATACAAGGAACACGTCGACCATCTTATTTCCATCTTGAGATTCCATCCTGGGATATACCCAGATCCGGGAGCTTCAAAGTAATCGGAATTAATTTTATACGCGGATAAGAGTTGCGTAGCTCTCTCTTTCTCTCTCTCTCTCTCTCTCTCTCTCTCTTTCTTTCTTTCTTTCTTTCTTTCTTTCTCTCTCTCGTACGTCCTTTATCCTTAATCTCTAAGATTCATTCTCTTTGAGATAAAAGTAGTCCAATCCTTGAACGTTCGTCATTAAATGATCGTTAAAACGAGATCAATCGGTAATCCTCTTCTTTGTATACGTATGAGTAGCCTATTTAGCGTCGAGATTAAAGGGAACGTTTATAATCTTCGCATCGTCTTTCATCGTTTCAATTCTAATACCCGCATTTCGAGAACGTAAATTTTGCTCTCTGACAATATCTTTCTCCAACAGTTACGAGTTACGAGGTTGGAGGGGAAATTCAAAAGATTAGTCGATACGTAAGGCACACTCGAAACCGATTTACACGACTTTAACGATCCACGGTGAAATTTATGAACGGATTCAGCCGCGTGCCAACTAGTTGCCGAGGCCCCCTCGGACACGTCGCGTTCCTACGGAATAATTCTTTCATCGCCGCAGGTGTTGCAAGCGAGTCGATGTTGCTGACTGCAGTGCGAGTCTCATGGAATCGAATTCGAATGTCCCGCCGATGTCATCCATTTTCACGCGCTTCTTTTAAATCTCATAGGGATGGTCGATCACACAATTATTTACACGATTTTACATACGAACACATTCGTACATTTTTATCTTTATTCATGTTTTACATTTATTTATTTATTCCTTTATTTATTTATTTATTTATTTATTTATTTATTTATTTATTTATTTATTTATTTATTTATTTATTTATTTAACGAATAGAGACGTTCGTAAAATTCTATTACATTGTCGTGACGAGTAATGAGAAACTTGAAAGGGAAGGGGAGGGGAGGGAGAAGGGGATATATTAATATCGATCGATGAAGAAATTTTTACGAGAATAAACGTCAAAGGCTCGTTACGCTTTTATGAGCTACGAGAAATTATTACGTCTCAACAAAATGAAACTCGTCGAAAAGATTTAAACAACGGCCTCGCAATTCGCTACTCGCGACAACTTTCGAACGATCTCATTGCTGAGAAATCCATCTCATTCTCTGGAGTGCTTCTTTTGCTCGAGCGAGATAAAACGTTGCGATAGTAAGAATCCAATGCATTTTAAACGTGACTCCTTTGAAGCGAGTTCCTTGCCATCGCAAAATGGCGCCACTCGATGAGAAAAGAAAAAGAAGAAAAGAGAGACAAAGTCGATGCTCGAGTTTCGTATCGGAAAAGATCGTTGTCGTTGACAAAGCGAGACGAGAAATGTCGAATGAAAAGAATAAAAATCAATTCTTAGTAATGAACAAAGAGGAATAACATTTTTGCGATAAGTCCTTCAATAATAGTTAATATTAAAGTCTCATTGTACTTGAATCAAAATGTTTCAATGATCAATACATACTAATTTAAGAATAATCTACCGTTATATTTATAATATATATAATGAAATTATGATTAAACGTCAATACATATATATATATATATATATATATATATATATATATTTCTTTCTTCTGATCGTAAATAATGTAATTTCTTACAATATTTTTAATTTGACAGGTACTGCAGTAGGAAGCGTGTTAACGACCATAACAGCGAACGACGTGGACAGTTCACCTGCATTGATTTATCGCTTCAGCAATACAACTGATCCAGGTCCATTCAGCATTGACAGATATGGTGGAAAAGTAATTTTACGAAAACCATTGGATGCAGAAACGAAATTCGAATATACTCTTCGTGTAATTGCAAGTGATGGCATACACGAAGCTACAACAGACATGACCGTACGAGTTGCTGATCTGAACGACAACGCGCCAAGATTTCAGCAAACCGCCTACGTCGCAACGCTCTCAGGTTGGTATCTAACCCTTTGTACGTAGGTTAGAGAAAAAAGAGAGAAAGAAAAGGAGAATGAAAGAAAAAGAGAGAGAAAAAAGAATACTGATCGAGTGCGATCTCCTTTTATCGGGCCAGACCAAGATGCTGCGTCCTTTGATTTATCTCAAAACGATGCTTTTTCGAGATTACTCGTCGGCCTTCTTCTCCAACTGCCATATTTACTATCGGTGGACCATATCCTGTTTCAAGTTCTATGTTATATCATTCGATAGCCTTTGTCGACCATAAAGATCATAAGATTTTCTCAGATACATCGACGATTCGATTCCAATAAATTGTTCTACCACTCGCTCTCTCTTTCTCTCTCTCTCTCTCTCTCTCTCTTTTTTTTCTTTTTCTCTTTTATCGATGATATAACCATGTGGGAACGTTTCATCGTTTTTAGTTCGCTTACAATTGCATTTATCTGAGAACACGATAACGAGATAAACGATTAATCATCTCTCACAAATCCAAGGACAATCCCATTTATATGATAGTTTATCGGAATTATTATGCGTACTCTTTTCTACTTCACGTAATAATTCGATCTTCCAAACACGAGGAAATTAAAATGAAAACTATCGACACTCGTGAAAAAAAAAAAAAGAAAAAAAGAAAAAGAATTCGCAGCTTGATAACCAAGCCGACGATTTCAGTTTTTTCTTGCATGCATTTTGCCTTTGAAGGACGAAGAAGAAGTAAGAGAAAAGAATGAAAGATAGAAAGAGAGAGAGAGAGAGAGAGAGAAAAAGAGAAAGAGAAAGAGAAAGAGAAAGAGAAAGAGAGAGAGAAAGAGAGAGAGAAAGAGAGAAACTTGGAGCGAGACCCCTCGGTGCGAAATAAACGCGCGTTTAAAAACTGGTTTTTAGTAGACACGCGTTGTCCTGTTGCCCGTGTTCCAAACTCGAATTGACACCGCGCCAAGATAAAGCGCGCAAGGAAGAAGAGGAAGAGAGAGAGAGAGAGAGAGAGAGAGAGAGAGAGAGAGAGAGAGAAAGCGATGAAAAGCTAGCTGCAAAAGAGAAGAGAGACGAACTCGAGAAGAAGGGAAAGAGAGAAGGAGATGGTAAAGAGAGAGGATAGTGTGGGGTGAGGCGGTGAATTGCAAACGTCTCGCACATAAATAAACGCGGAGACACCGTTTGCGAGGCAGCCGAAAAGCCGCCTTCGTTGCAACCACCGGCCGAGATCACTGGCTTCGAAGCCTCTCGAAACTTATTAAAAATACATAGGCCTGCGCCTAATGGTGTATTTATTTGCTGAAGAGTAGAAAACAGGGTAAACTTAGATTGGCAGGAGGATTCTCTAGAACATGGTGGGGAAGATCTTACGAATTTATCTCTTATTTCTTTATTTTTGTTTTTCGACCATCCCCCTTGTTCTTCCTTTGGTTTTTGCTCATCGTGAATTCGCGAAAAAGTCTTGCAAAAGTTTAATAGATAGATTGTCCAAATTGAAGGAAAAAAAAAAAGAAAGAAGAAGAAGAAGAAAGTAAAAAAAGAAAAAAGATGATAAAATCGTGGCGTTTTCTACAAGATGTTTGCAACTAAAGAACACGTGAGAACTTGGGATGGTCTTATGATACAATGAGAATTCGCAAACCGGGTTCTCGTCTGGATCTTACGCACTTGGCAATAATTATACGGTCCGTCCCTCTCGAAAGGGTTTAAAGTCCCTTTTGCCATCGTTCGAGGTCGTCCTACCACCTCACCTCCGAACATCCCCCAAAGGGCAACCGCGAGCTTTATATGCTCCTTATTTCCGATCCTACCTACCTTCTTCCTTGGCCTCTCGCTTTACGCCGCGGCTTGGCACATTAATGCCGAGTTATCCGACGATTTGAAACGCATCGAAATGATTTTTGTGCGCACGGGGCCCTGGCCAGGCCCAGGGCTTCGCCGAGCGATTTATATAACTGGTTATTATTTCATACTTCCGTTCGGTCCGATGTCAGGACGGCTTATCCTCCTCCTTCGTCGGGAATGAGCCAAAGAAGAAGAAGAAGAAGAAGAAGAAGAAGAAGCAGAAGAAGAAGAAGAAGAAGAGGAAGAAAAAGATGAAGAAAGGGAGTGAGAAGGAGGATGAGAAAAAAGATGAGGAGGAGGATGAAGAGGAAGATGAAGAGGAGGATGAGGACGTAGCTGGAAGAAGAAGAGCCCGAGGGTACTTGACCTCGACGCGCGTGATCTCTCGATCCTCTCTCGAGAACTCTTTTCGAGAGGTCCTGCGGCCTCCTACGATTCGATAATCGATTCTCACCGAGCGCGACGTAAGCGTTTCTCTCCTCTCCCTAACGCTTTTCGGTGTCGCCAAGACGCACTCTCGGTAGAAGAAGAGGAAGAAGAGGAGGAAGAAGAAGAAGAGGAGAAGAAGAAGAAGAAGAAGAAATCGCGTCCCATGTCCGACGCGACAATAATTACGTGCTGGAAAATTTATTATCAGATCTTCCGAGCGTCATTCACGTGAATTATCGTCTTTGGGGTTCTTGAGAACTCTTCTCTCTTTCTTCTTCTCTCTTTTACTCTCACTTCCAGTCACAATGCTTTAAAGGACGAGTAGAATATGTTTTCTAATGGAGCGGATCGGTTAGGCCGAAAGAAAAAAAATTCTCTTTCTCTTCGTCTAATACGTGTTGCATTTAGCATGGTTAATTTTATGCGTGGGTGCCGTAAATGTTGCGCCGTGATTACAATTACACGCTTTGTTCACGTTTGTTTAACTCCCCTTGTCTTTTTTTCTTTTTATTTTCTTTAGAGGGACATGGTGGTCTGCAAGAAATACTCACGGTTAACGCAACTGATGACGATTTCACCGAAGACAACAGCAGAATACGATATTATCTTTTACAACCCGTCAAAGGTTTTACCGTTCATCCAAGCACAGGTGTATTGACAGTTAATCGTACGGCCATACCCAGACCATTGCCAAAAGAAGTAGAACTGACAATCGTGGCCGAGGATCATGGTAAACCATCAGCTTCAGCGACTTGTTCGGTCGTTGTAAGACTCAGCAGCCTTAAGAACACTTTGCCCGGACGAGAATACAAGATCAATGCGAAAGAGAACTCATCGAGGGGCAAGACTTTGATGAGATTATCGGATGTCGATCTTTTGGACGGTGCTATCGTCGCTGGCGACGAGACTGGAGTTTTTGAAGTGTCCAGAGGAAGGTTGATCTTAGCTAAACCCCTCGATCGAGAAATGAAAGACATGTGAGTATTTCATTCCAAAAGAAAAAAAAAAAAAAGAAAAAAGAAAAAAGAAAAAGAAAAAAAGAATCGTCATTATTTCACCTATACGTTCAATTGCTTATATTTCCTTTTTCTTTTAGATATACACTTAGACTTGGTTCGAGAGATGAGAATACGACAATGGGTTCCTTGGTTGGAGATGAACTTGTTACAGTAACAGTTATCGTCGAAGACATAAACGACAATTATCCGAGTTTCCTTGAAGAATTATATCAAGTATCGATTAAAGAAGATGCAGCATTTGATAGTACCGTAGCTATGTTACATGCCAAGGATGACGATTTAGCTGACACACCAGCAGCCATTTTGACGTACGATATCACGTCGGGAAACGATGCGGGACTCTTTCGTGTGGAAAAAACTACCGGTGCTATTTTGGTGAATGCAACGCTCGATTGCGATTTAGAGCCTGAGGTTTATAATCTCGTTGTCATGGCATGTGACAGTGATCCCTCGTCACCTCTTTGTGCTCTGGCAAGACTCAGAATTCGTTTGGAAGATGTGAACGATAATTCTCCAAAATTCCCTGTTACGGAATATCTCGAATTCGTTGGTGAAAATGAACCAGCTGGTACGATCGTTTTCTCAGCTAGAGCATCCGATCTGGACCGAGGTATATTTGGTTCTTTGAATTATTCCATCGTATCAGCAGCTGCTACAGGCTTCTCTGATATCGATGACAGCTGGAAATTATTTGAGGTTGATGCAAAATCAGGAACTGTCACGACGTGCGCTACATTTGATTATGAACAACGGAATCGTTATGCTTTCACGTTGCGAGCAACTGATATGGGTGGTCGCACGGCTGCAGTCAGAGTTAGAGTAGAGATCGAATCAAGAGATGAATTCTTTCCGCAATTTACTGAGAAAATGTACAAATTTGGAATTCGAAGTGGTTCCCAGATGATGCCAGGTACTGTAATAGGTCATGTAACTGCTACCGATCGTGATAAAGGACCAGATGGAAGAGTAGTGTATCAATTGACGTCACAACATCCCTACTTTAAATTAAATCGTACTACTGGTGCTTTAATCATCAAACAAAAATTAATGCATATGGATATGGATGTTGAAGGATCTTCTAGATTAGTAGTAAGCGCCAGTTCCGGAAGACAAGGCTCTTTGTCAAATAGTACGGTTGTAGAAATCACTTTGGTAGACAATAATAGTAGTGATTCCAGAGGAGTAACTGCTATGGCAATACCAAATGATGTTGAATCGAATATGGCCGTTGCTGCATCGAATGGTTTACCTGATTGGGCGCTTGGTCTTTTGATAGCTCTACTTCTTTTGGTTCTTGCATTTGGCGCCATATTTTTGTATTTTCACTTACGAAATCGTCGTCACAAAAAACCTGGGACAAAGCCAGGTTTAAACGGAGAAAGCAACGCCACTGCCTCCAACAGTTATGTGGATCCCAGTGCTTTCGATACTATTCCTATCAGAAGCGTCGTTGGAGTAGGTGGAAGCGGAAATGGAGGTTCTGCTGGAGGTGGTGGCGGAGGCGGTGGTGCCTCGTGTCAATTCGCACCACCGAAGTACGATGAGATACCACCGTATGGAACTTCAGGTCAATCAGGTCAACAACAAGCTACATCTGAACTTTCGGGTAGCGATCAATCTGGATCATCCGGACGAGGATCAGCCGAGGACGACGGTGAAGACGAAGAAATAAGAATGATTAACGAGGGACAACAAACGGGAGATTCAGCGAGCGATTTGTCCGTTCACAATACACAGGAATATTTAGCTAGGCTAGGTATCGTCGATCCACCGGCTGGTACTCCGAGAAGACCACCGGAAGCTCTTCCTTTAGATAGCCTACATCTATTTGAAGACGAAGCTACGACAGAAGCAGACATCGCTACTTTGATATATGGAAAAATCGGTGAATCTGGAAGACCTACGTCTGGTCTCGAAGTACCTGGTGGACCCAGCATGAACGGTTCTTTAAGCTCTATCGTTCATAGCGAGGAAGAACTTACTGGGTCTTATAATTGGGATTATCTTTTAGATTGGGGTCCTCAGTACCAACCATTAGCTCACGTTTTCGGTGAGATCGCTAGGCTCAAGGACGATGCTGCCAGTGTACAAAGCGGGAATTCTGGTAGCAGTGGTAGAGCTAAGTCTGTACATAAAGCACCGCCGCCACCTCTTTTAACTTCTGTTGCCCCAAGATCGCTAGCAGCTCCGGCTTTGGCCAGAGCTATTTTACCAAGATCACCAATTAGTCATGATGCTTCCACTTTTCCCTCGGCTGCTCTCAGTCCAAGTTTCTCACCATCCTTATCACCATTGGCTACTAGGAGTCCAAGTATCAGTCCTTTAGTTCCACCTGCAACGCAGAGAGCCAGTCAAAGTGCCAACAGAGGTATCCCCGTTACCAACGCTGAATTGAGGATCTAAATTAATTATTCGAATTTATGGAAGAATATTAGAATTTTTAGTGTACATTAAACTAATGATTTACGCTTTTTTCGAAATCAATATCCATAAAAAAAAAAAAAAAGTGTTTGTGTAAAAGATCATTTATATACTAATTAATTTGAAAACCGGTTGAGACTCTTCATTAAAACAAATCGAACGTGATAGTTTGTATTGATTGGTGCTGTTGGATAACGAAGCCTGTATTGTGAGTGAAGTGTCGATAAATGAATACTGTAATATTTTTTTAAGTGAATGAATGTGTCCTTTTGCTCCTTGCATGCATAATACTTTCTATTCGCGTGTATGTAATAGAATTTTTGTTTTAAAATGTTTTCGTTTCAAGGAGTTAGGCCATTCTCTTAATGATCATTGCGATGAAATGTGCCTGTTAAAAGAACTTGTATTAAATGTAAAAGAACAACTTCCATAGTAAATAATAATTTATAGATTTTTATTCGTCGCGAATGTTAAAGGTCGTTTAAAAAAGGAACGCGATAGGACGAATAAATCTGATGATAAGAGAAACCGCGAGAAGAAGACTGATCGCATTTTTAAGAAGAGCACTCAATAGGATGTATTATTGTATAATATTATTTCGAACGATCGACGTCTTAACGATAGTTAATAAACAAAAGAAAAAGAATACTCGAGCGAAATTGTACATACGAAATTAGTTAAATGTTTAAGTAAACGTGTAAATAATAATTAACTCGACGCGAATAGTAAGAAAACTCGCCGTATAATCAAAAGAAAATAAAAATGGTCTAGAGACTGTCTGTAAAGGAGAAAAATCAAAGCGGTCACAACGCGTTCAACGAAATAGTACGCTCTTGTACAATAAAATTAAATTCCTGTAATAATTTTTAATAATGATTCGATTGACGTTAAGTTGATCGATAGCGTTTCTTCTTTCATCGAACGCGTCGTGCTCGTTCCCATAATCAATTAACACATTGTCGCGATCGTACTGATCGCTATAAAATATTCGCGGCAATGTGACTTTCAAAAACATCTTTTTCTTAATATCCTTTTTAATTTTCTATCATCTCTTTTCCTTCTTTATTTCTCTCTCTCTCTCTCTCTCTCTCTCTCTCTCTCTCTCTTTTCTATCTTTTTCTCTCTTTTTTTCTTTTTTTTTTCTCTCTCGTCCGACTCTCGATAAAAATCTCGATGTAACGAGAGCCGGTTGTCATCTCTTTCAAATAAATGAATATAGATACTCATCGACGAATATAGATAATGTCATATTTTGTATAAAAAAAACAAAAAAAAAAGAACGTTCTCTCATTCCATTGTACAAAGACTCTTCCGAGCCGAGGAGACCCACTTTAGTGGGATTTAATTAAATGAATTTTTTAACAAAAGTATCAGCTGTACTTACTTACCATTATTATTAACTCTCAATTACTTTTTTCTCGTTTTCAATTGCAGGGGATTTAAAGAAATACAGGAAACAAGGGAAAAAGAATCAAGAAATGCGAAAGATTTTCTCCACGTATAAACCTGTATTTTATTATACAACACGTTAAGATGTTATATCTATATTAACACGTAGTCTTTGGATACCTTTGATAATTTGATAATTTAATTAGTTAGTTATTTCTTTTTTTTTTTTTTTTTTCTTTTCTTTTCATTTTTTTTTTCTTCTATTCTTTTTTTCTCTTTCTTTTTTGGTTATTGTGTTAGTGTATTTTAAATTATTCATTTTACGAACACAGACAGAACGAAATTGTTCTTTCATCTCATTCAGTTATTCTGAACGCGAGCATAAAAGGAATTATTATGTCAAATAATTTTGATTTAGCAATTAAACGTGCGAAGATGTGTCAATAAACAAATGAAGAAATCGATCGAGCGGAACACCGGCTTTATTGTATCTAAAATTATCGAAGCCTTCAAAGAGTGACAAAAAGGAGTGATCATTGGTCTCTAATCAATACCGTGTACACCGGTAAAACGTTTTTATGGTACAAATCGTTGGCCAGCTCGCATGAAAGTTCCACAAGGATCGGAGAAAAAAAAAAAAAAAAAAAAAGAAAAAAAAAAGAAAGAAAAAAATAGGAAAAGTCGAACTCGCCTCTTTTCAAGTCTGTACGGATTAGATAACGTACGACCCCTACGTAAATGCTACGTACTCGAAATAGTTTGTACATTGAAACAGCCTCTACGATAAAACACGTATCGACCTACCTATTTAATTTGTCTAAAATTAGCGAAACCTTGTAGGAATCGTTTACCCATAATAATATATTATGCCGATGAAAAAGACGATAATATTTATCGTATGGCGTGTCCAGTCTTGATTATCGGTCCATTGAGGAACCTAACTAATTAACTTACTCTCCCTCACTCTCACTCTATCTCTTTCTCTCTCTCTCTTTCTCTCTCTCCCTTTCGCTCCATCTCTCTCGCTCCATCTCTCTCGCTCTCTCTCTCTCTCTCTCTCTCTCTTTCTCTCTTTTAACATCAAGATAAAAATTGCAATGATTTTCTGTTCTCGGACGAAACACTAACGACACTTTCCTCGATAACTCGTGAACGATGACAAAAATGGGATGCGTATATTGTTCTTTCGTTTAAATGCTATATGTATGTATGTATGTATATATATATATATATATATATATATATATATATATATTTATATACGTAGATATATGTATATGTATGTATGTATATACATATGTGTGTATATGTGTGTGTGTGTGTATGTATATATATACATATACATATATACATATATATATATACATATATATATGTATATATATACATATATATATGTATATATATACATATATATATATATATGTTTGTATATATTATTGGAAGGCGGAGCTGTCTTACTGTGAACCACTCTAATTATAAAAGTGAGACAGAATTATTATCTTGATTGATCGTCGTTCATCACATCGTCACTCGTGAAAGTTCGAAGTAATATGAACAATTTTTCTTTGAGGAGACTCAATAAGATGCCCTCGAAGCATCTCTTTCGGTTACCTATATTAAAAGTATTCTTATTTTTCCCTCTTTTTATTCCAAGATCAATACTCGCAAGTTACCCCGAAGTAATCGAGGACTGTAAAGGGTCTCGAAAATGATAAAGAACACGTTGTATGATACTCTCGTTAATTTGACAACAATTAACGCGAAACGCGCGATATGACGTTTTATACCTGCATCAGTATTTTATCCTTTTTTTTTGTTTTCTCTCGTCGTATATCGATCGATCGATCGACGAGAATCGTAAAAAATCAATCAACGTCTGTCTTTTTATCTTCTTTTTGATTATCATGTCCCTTACTGTCTTCTTTTTTTTTCTTCTTTTTTTTTTTTTCTTTTTTTTTTTTCTTTGGTTTGTTTTTTTTTTCTATACAGACATCGATTCATAGCCAATGACGCGAATACTACAGAAAAAAGCTCACTAATCTCTTCGTGAGAAAGAACGTCGTGCTTAACATCTCATAGCACCTTTTATGTTACACGACTAGCATCGCGGATATGTTATTACAACGAACTTTAATATCTTAGGATATCTACTTACAACCCCTAATACGGTGCATTAATCATTATTTTCTCACAAGGAGCGAAGTACATATGTGTTATGCGTATAAATGATTTTAAAGGTTCGATGATGCTAACGTTTAACACGCAGAAAACGCTACTCGTTAAATATTTAAATCTTATATCATTCTCACTACAACACTTTCGGTCTCACTTTCGTCGAACTCGCGATGAAATTTTTATCACTGATACGATTTCGCTCGCGTCATTGACTAAAATCGATCTATCATACGTCGATGAATAATACAAAATACTGCTTCGCATCATCGTATATCATCGCATTCGATGATACACGAATATTGCAGATAACATTTCAAGGAATTAATATATGGATGACGTACGAAGAAAAAGAATACATCAACGACGCGCTTTACTTTCATCGCACCTAATCCGAGGGCGCATCGAAATTAAGGCACCACCATTCGACGATGCGAATGATCACTTGTCAAATGAGACTACTAATATTCACGAGATCGACAAGAATATTCTCGCGCGATTTACGAGCAAAATTGTCGATCGTCTTTATCGTTTTGACTAACGTTCCGTTAAAAAAAAAAAAAAAAAAAAAAAAAAACCAAAACTAACAAAGAAACAGAGAAACAAAGAAACAAAAAAAAAAAAAAAAAAGAAAAAAAAAGAATAGACAAAAGAAAACAACACCTTCGTAGCATACGAGCGAGATTTTTCTACGCGCGAATCATCGAACTTCTGCACCTCGGTGCTCCTAACTAGAAGCGCATTTTTCTGTAAACTTACGTATCTCAAACTTTTTATTGCTACTCTTGTATCGCAAACGCATACGCGTTCCAATACGATATTGACTCCTTTTCTTTTTCGTTTTTCTCAGTTTTTCTGTTTTTTTCTTTTTTCTTTTTTCTTTTTTCTTTTTAATCGTCCCGCCTTTATTCTCCTTCTGTGGTCGATCGAATCTCAGTCTCAAACTTTGCTCACTTAACTCTCGAAAATGGAGATATCTAAATTCCGTGACGTTTCAAAGTCATCGAGTGTCCTAGCAGAGTGTCTCTATCGACATTTTTGGGATTGAGAAGTTGATAACGTCGTTTAAGTAAAATAAAATAGATAAGAAAGAAGAGAAAAGGCACTGGCGTGCCTAATATTAACCTCGCCATCGTTTTCTTTTCTCATTTCATCGGCATACCTCGTAGGTATACCGTTTTAAATTGTCTTGCGAGATCGGCCATTAGTCAAACGGTCTCCTCCGTTACGCTTCGCGGTATTGGTAGTACGCTGATGCTAAAAAAAAAAAAAACAAATTGTCAAAATATATAGTAATGTCTCATAAAGTATTTCTTGATTACTAGAATTTAACTAATAGCAAAATTATTTCCCGATGAAGAGAGTACATGTCAAAATGCAAATGCAATCTAAATGAATCCGAAAATACTTCAAATGTTTCTACATCGTGTGACTTGTTCTGTAGCGATTTACAAGAATTAATGTTAGATTTATGTTATCTGTCAGGTGAATGAATCAAAAGTCGCATAGTCCGATACTATGTTAGATATTCAACGATCGATCGATTTACGAAGGACAAAATCAATAAAGCAGACTTTCATTTATAACTACGTATAACAAACAATAGTATTTTTTTTTCGCGTTACTTTAGCCTGATCATTGAACTATAACGTGTAAACTCGATGTTCTTACATCACCACATGTATCGACTTATCGTGCTGTATGTTCTTAAGCTGGTTGCGCAATGATTTGCATATAAGCACATGGCGAGTCGAGTCAGGTTCGTTTCATGAATCGTTGCAACAACAAGCACGTTGCATTACCATCGACCTATTATTTGTGCAATCTACAATGCAATGACTCTCCAAAAGCAACAAAGTTCATGATAGCATACAGCGTTGATGATTTAGTAAGCGTTTGATTTCAAAATAAAAAGTTTGAAATCGATAAGATAAGTAGATTGGATTTGCAAAGCGAATGTCGTTAATGAGCATATAAAGTGATAGCCTAGCCCTACCAACAAGTTAGTTTACTTGGCGATGCCGGCTATCCTCGTGTCGTCTTGCATTTCAACGACGATAGTATCAGGATCGGGTACCCTGTTAGCCGAGATGCATCCATTGGCTAAGGTTGTGGGCAGTACTGTTTCAGACTTGAAGCGATGAGAAATATCGATTAGTAATGATAATTAAATATCCTTAAAGAACATTAACATTAATTCTAATTTACCTGATAAGCTGCTGCGTCCAATGCCATCAGTTCTTTTTTGGACAATTGCTCTACTACAGCAGCTGCATAACAGTCTCCTAACATATTATTGGTCGTCCTTATACGATCTCTATAAATTATATTTTTATATAGGATAAATAATATTACAGAAGATATCAATGTGATTAGTATAATTATAAATTATTAAAAAAAAAAAAAAAAAAAAGAAAAAGGAAACTTACACAAACCAGTCAATAGCAAAGAGAAGAGAAACATCATGAACGGGTGCGTCAATGGCACTCAAAACAACTAGTAATAATACTAGAGCTGCACTTGGAACCGAAGCTGAAGAAACGGATGCTGCTGTGGATGTTAAACTGTAAAGAAGAAAAACAGTCTTTGTTCAATGAATTCATTGCAGATTATTGAATAAATATTTAAATTATTGAACTTACATAACCGTGATGATTTCTCCGAAACCCAAAATGATCCCGTTCATCTGTGCGATGAAGATACTTGCCACCGCAACGAAGAGCGCGGTACCGTCCATATTGATGTTGCACCCAATCGGGAGGACGAATCTGGTGACTCTGGGATCGACCCTGAGCTTCTCGGTCATCAGTCGAAAAGTAACGGGGAGTGCAGCAGCCCTGTACAAAGCTATGTTAGAGAAACACCAGGCCAACGTTCTCGTTAGTAATAAAAAAGGATAAATCCGCATGCCCCAGGGTTGCTGCCGATAAGGATCATTCTGGCGTTAAAAAGAGATCTTTTCTATCGATTAAAAAAATTTTCTTTCTTACGATACGATTTTAGAAATGTATAGTATCATCGTATTATTACATATGCATGTATAAAAGTGTATATGAAATGATTTGGCAGTAATAATAGTAATGATAACAATACGGAGAGGTCATTTCATGCTCACGAAACCGAATGATATGCAAAACGAGTCAACTAAGACTCGTTCGTCTAAACTATTTTCGTTTCTAGATGTACGAACGGGAGAAGGATCGAGAGACATCAGAGAATCTATCAAGGACAGCCAGAATGACCGTGACGAAGAACTGAAAATCAAGTGGCATTAATCACGGATTAAAGTCGAAGTGCCCTGCGAACGGTCCTTTCCATATAGCGTTGACTTTAATCAAATCTGTAACAGACAATTGTATGTACCTTCATCTGCGGCCATCAAATACTTACCAAGGGCCACCCTCGGTCACTCTCTATCTCTATCTCTCTCTCTCTCTATCTCTCTCTCTCTCTTTCTCTTTTTGTCATTGTCAACCACCTGCAAAAGGTCGCGTGCAGCGCGTGTTCTAATACATCATCATGATATTCATATAGTCTCTGTTCAGATACACTGATAACTCAGTGTCTCACAGTCACAGTGTACGCACAGTTGTGTACGTTCTTTTCTGGAAAAAGTTAATCCACAGAGAAAACAGGTTGAATTAGATATGTATTGTCGATGATTCGACGTTAACGATGATAATAGCGAATGGTTAGGTCCAGGGTGAGGGAGAGAGGATCGAAGGAAAGCTGGAGGTCGACCGCTCTGGTTAAACCACAGATTTCCATCGGAGACGTTTTGTAGTGGCTAAAGGAAATGGATCCATGGAGTGACGTAGAAATGATATTTAAAAATTTTTTCTATATTTTTCGTGCGACTCTAAAGTATTGCAATTTTGATATCTCGATCAAGGAGGGTAACTTCTGAAAGACACTTTGAACAAGACAAGTTTAATTTTAAAGAAAGGTGATTCGATTTAATTGTATCCTTCGAATAAAATAAGAAACTTATAAAAAAGACGTGGACGATTATCATCACGACGAAATATCGGAAGTATTACGTTATACTCGATGATTTTGTTCAAGATCAATAAATGAAATTTTTTTGTACTTTTTATAAAAAGTAGTTCTACGTCAATGACTTGGGATATGGAAAGGTAATTGAACTGGAAAAATGATCGTTGCTTCGCGCGATCCGCACAAATGAATGATCAAGATGTAAAAAAGAATGATCGCACGTGGTCCAGCAGCTCTCGCCAGTCAAGGACGTCCTCGTCAAACCTGGAAGAGCGGGCTCGGCGCAAACAACCAATATTTTTCCAGTTCCTTTTTTTTTAAATCTTACAAAATGCTAATAGTTAACTAAATAACGATGAAGAAATTATCAAACGTGGAGCCCTCCTCGATTTTCGAGAAAGCTTCCACGCCACAAATCAGTCCAGGTAACACGGAGTCAGCCGATTTCCGGTTTGAACGATATGAAAAATTTTCCTGAAGAGTTCCACCATCGTTGAAAAATTGATAAGGATTAGATATAATTTATTTTTATACGCGTTACGTGGAAATCTTTCACTCCGGTAAACTCAAACTTCCGAAAATTGAAATCGATTAATAATTGAAGGAAGTTCGAATCACGGAGTATCAGGTACCGGTAGTAATCCACATCCTAAGTGCCACCCGGAACTGCATACCTCTCTCCCTTTCTCTCTCTCTCTCTCTCTTTCTCACTTTTTCATGGGGCATGACGAGCTCTCCTCGCGAACAACGCGATAACAATAGAGAGATTGTGTAATATGTCAAGGAAGGATGGGAAAGGAGATTACGGCTAGAATTATACAACGTTTTGTCGACAAAAAAAAATTGACACGTTCCACAAAGGAAACGATTATGCAGGAAGATAAAAGAATATCTCTCAAACGCTGTATAAATCTGTGGGCCAAATTTTGGAACGGATACGGGGACCACGGCCTCGTAAAGCCACTCCACTCGGCTGGCTGAAACACATTGTTTCTATAAAAAATCGATTCAAGTCGTTTCGACACGCCCTTCCGTTTCTCGAAAACGTTCACTGTCTTCACGTCGTCATCGATATATCGTGCGCGTGCAGATTTTGGACGATCACCATCACGCAAGAAAGTCACATGTGATAAATAGAAAAATCAATCGAGAAGACGATGGGAAATTATTTTCAATGGGAAGAGAAACTGAGATTAGTTTTTTTTCTGTTCTCTTAATGATCAGAGGAAACAGAAAAGAAAAGAAAGTGGAGAAACAAGATCGAAATCGACAATGACGATGACGACCGAGGCCCCTTAAGGCAGGCGTGATGGGTTCTCTGAAGGTCGGGCTGGGATTCGAAGGTCGACGACTCACGTTGATGCCATGGCGAAGGCGGTGAGTGTACCCTGGGCGAGGCCGGCGTAGAATCTAAAGGGGTTCTTTCTCACGAAGGCCAGGTAGATCAGCTGCATCACCACCAGCTGATAGAAAAAGACACCGATCACGATCGTGACGATGAACCAAGCTAGCTGCGACATTACCAGCGCCAGATCATTCACACCGAGGACTTTTCCGGCTATTACCGAAGTTATACCTATTGGTGTCATCCTGTGTAATCAAACGATTATGATTAATCATCAATATTTTTTCAATTCTTTCGTTATCTTTAAAATTTACTCACCACATCACAGTGGAGACCATTCGCATAATGACCTCAAAAACAGCCTTGAAGAAATCTATCACAACCTGACCCTTCTCACCGAGGGTACCTAGGAAAGTGCCGAAGACTAGACAAAAGAAGACGATGCCTAAAGTGTTGGTACCACTTCTATATTGGATCACTCTGATCAGGTCTTCTTCACCGACCACTCCTACCGATAAACCATCGGTTTGATTTTGTATCGGTGGCTTTCTCGGTACGTAAACTGTATGTGCCTTTAACATCACATCCATGATTATTATTTTATATTTCTTTTTTTATCGAACAAAATAAAGAATATCATTTACCTGTTGAAATGCAGCTTGAAAGAGATTGTCAGGAAACATGTTCCTAAAAATAAAACATATAAACGATTCAATTAAATGACGTCTCTACACTCGAGTAGCCATACTCTACACTCGAAAGGACACTTTACGTTTCTACACATTTCGGGGACTTTGAACGAAACGTTTAATAGAGCCACCCGTATAAAGAAAGATATCACGGACAAGGAAAAAGTGTACTTCGCGCATGAATAAATCACGCACGATCGATGCACATCTATTTTGGTCTTTGGCCGAGTATAGTTTGGTGTTCGTGATCACAATAAAAATTTTTCGTTTAAAAAGTTCGGTGATCGTGAAACCGACCGACCTTAATCCTTCAGCATGGAAACTACGATAATTCACCTTTGTGCTTTTCGCGCGAGTGCTGTCTTACGAGTAAAATCTTCCACTATTGCGCTTCCATTCTCACGCGATAAACCATGAATCGATTTGATTCGTTTGAAAATAAACAAGCTTATTAAATAATATATGAGAAATAAAGAATCTGTTAAGAATGGAAATAATAAATATTGGCTCGACGATTTTAATTCGGAATATATATGAAAATGTCAAGAGGATAAAAGTAGAACTGTTCATTACCTTCCTAAATCCAAAAGGCTGTCCAAGATGTTGACGGCTCTGGCATGAGTCGGAGGTATAATCGATTCTCTGATTCCTGGATTTCCAGGGTGAATAACGAGAACAAGGATAACTCCTATTACGGCATTGAGAAAGGATGTGAGTATGAAATAGACGAGAGTTCGTACGGCTATCATCCCATTCATCCTAGCATTCAAACTTGCTGAACCTTTGAAGTAAAACGAACGAACGTTATTAAAGAGAATTAAATGTATTATTTTTTTCGTTATATTTCTAAATTAAACTCACCTGATATGAGACTAGCAATTACCAAAGGTAGAATCATTAATTTCAGTATTCGCATAAAAAGTTCTCCAGGATAGCTAATCAGCATTACAGCGTCATCGCCAAGGCCCAATGGTCGCAAACCAAATCCTTTAATTATACAAGATCGTTTGTAATAAAATATACGAGAGAAAAAGTAGACTGAAAGAAATTATCAACTCTTTTAGATTGAAGTAGCTATTGAGATAATTATTTTTCTAATTGAATAAAGTTTTCTTAAAGTAAGATGTTGCTGGATAATTTGCTAGGAAACGTTGGCGTTTCATCGTATTTAAGGAAGAGTTAATAAGGCGTTCCGACTTAGAAGCTCGAGAAAAGCATTTTGTAAGTTTCTCTTCCAAGAAAATTCTTTTAATAATCTTTCAACTGGACGAGGAGAGGATTACCGAAAACATAGGTGGATGTTTACGTGCGGCAGAGTATAACTCAATATGAAGACGCAAACTGCCCTTGAACCTTCCAAGGGGTCATATAAAGAGCAAAGTGCTTGAAAGATACGAGTTTAGTAAGATCGAGTTTCGGTAGGAAGTTAATTAGATGAGACTTTTGAAGGAAACCTCTCATCGATGATTGACACCTTTTAACGGGATAATGTGACCACTGCAAGAGTTTTACGTAACGAATGGTAATTTCAAACTGGGTCGTCTATAACGCACAAGTACACACGTAATCAATTCCATCCCCGTTAGAAAAATATTCTTTTTATTTCGAGTAAAATCAATGAGTATTTCTCATTATGTTGTCGTTGGCAAAATTCCCAATCGAACTTGCGATTATGGCTTGAACATCGTAGATATGAAAATTCATGAGAAGAAGTCTTGAAGATACGGGGAAACGTTTCTATGCATAAACGTTTTTAACGACCCACGTGAGTGATATTTTTTTTTTTAGTATCTTTTCTACTTACTATTTATCATTTCCATGATAACGGTACAAATTTTCCAAATATTTTACAATAATAAATGAATTCTCGAAAAATCTATGGAAAAAATTTCATATTATTTTATTTAAATTTATATACTATATACTTTGAATTTCCAAAAAAAAAAATATATATATATAAAAAATTAAATACTACTTTTTAATTTTCTCAAACGTTTATGATACGTCGATACGTTCTACTTACTATTCTACTTACTATTACTATTTATCATTTTCATGATAACGTTACAAATTTTCCAAATATTTTATAATAATGAATGAATTCTCAAAAAATCTATGAAAAAATTAAATATTCTTTTATTTAAATTTATATACGATATACTTTGAATTTCCAAAAAAAAAATATATATATAAAAAATTAAATACTACTTTTTAATTTTCTGAAACGTTTATGATACGTCGATACGTGCTTAATACATTTCTTCTCTTCTCTCTTTATTCGTTAAATTAATTAAATGTTATTGGATAATAGTGCGAAAGAGTATAATCGAACGATAACTCGTGTTCATTCTCTTTACAGATGAAATAATGCAAGAAAAACACGTACATTATCAATATTATTGAATTCTCACACTTTCTTCGTTCCCCGTGTAAAATCTATATCGTTGACGTGGAAAAATAAAACATAATTCTCATAGACTAAGCTTTATCGATCGACGCAAATACCGTCCTGCAATACTCTTTGCATAATTATCTTTGTAAAATAGTATCTCTTCTACACAAGTCCACGAGATTATAGTTAGCTTTGATTTCTAACTTAATTAAATATTTATGATAACGTAGCGATCAATGTAATGTCATCGGCTATTGAATTATCAACGAAGGCATCGTAAGCTTTCGATCATACTTCATTCATGGCCGTGAATAACAAGTTAAAAAAAAAGTGTCCTAGATAATCCAAAACTGATGCCATTAACGAAGATTACTTAGTGATATTATTTTGCTCGTCGCATTATATAGTTATAAACGTTTGAAATATACTGTCAATGAAATTGCATTGAAGATACAAAGAACATTAAAGTAAGAGTCCACGTGATAAATCGTTTTCACGATATGCCAAGAGCAGCTATATGCCAAGGGAACCAAGGCCAACGGAAATATAGAGGACAATGTACATATGATCAATCATGAAAAAAAAAAAAAAAAAAAAAAAAGAAAAAGGTGTTTCACTATGGACAATAACGATAAGTATCTGTTGTTTGCTTCAACAATAACGAACTCGATCGAATGTAAGGAAAACGTACGAACGTTAGTGATAAAATAGTTTGCTATTTGGTTAAAGTTCTAGATGTCTTTTAACAGTAATAATAAAACTATTCGTCGAAATAACTTCATCAAATTATTTTATTTTATAAGATTTATAGTTTCGAGACAATACTTGAAAACTTATTTGCTCTTACGATATATTATTCTTTGTAAAGGAAGAATAGAAAAGCGATGTGAAAATTTGAAAGGACAATAACTTTAATGTATATGTACCCAGCCCGATATTCTCTTCTCGTTCTATAGACAAGCAATTACTTATCGACCATGCATTCGCATATATGCACTTGGTTCGTGTGTTACTTCAACATCCGTAGAATCCATTGATTATCGAGAGTACACGTGTGACACGATGTGACAGAAATACGAATGATGATTATTTATTAATGCGTATTTTTGATCACATATGATAAAATTTTGTCTACTTCTAACAACTTAAAAAATACTATTAACTAATACTTTAAACGATTATTCATCGAACAAAACTAATTACATAAATATCGGAAAATCATTAATTCGAGCTGAGCGTTAAATATCGAATATAAAATTGAATTTTGAGAATAGATATAACGCGTAGTATGATAACTGAGGAGAAGAAATTATCCATTATATTAGCTTCGATGATAAATTATTAATCCACGCTTTATCCTGTAAAGTGAAAGTCGTTTGACCCATCCCTACCCGAAGTTTATAAATAAACAAATGCGGTTACCGAGAAACGAGAGGGTAAAATTGCCTTGTTCTTAATATCAATAAAGGCTATCGTAAAAGAAATCAATCAATCTTATCGCATTTTATTTAAAGCAAAAAAATTTCTAGTTAAAGCATGAATATACCATATGTACGTTCTTAATGTATGATCAATAATTTATCGATCGGAAATAATTGAAAATAAAAGCTGTAACGTTTTTATAGGAATTACCTACCAAGGATCACACCAAGAAGTACACCGGACAGAGTGATCATAAGCAAGAGATTTTCCCGCATCCACTTCCTAGTGTCGGCGGTCACCTTGCGGGGACCCTGAGAGGCCGAGACGTCCTGCCCGTCCATCTTGGCGAACAGGTACTCCGAGAAGCGCGCCGAGGACTTCTCCTCCATCTCACTTGGCCGCCAACAAGAAGCGGCGTAGGAAGCGGTGGTAACGTTTGCGGAGGAGGCAACCGATCCGCTCGTCGATCCTTCGATCGATTCTGCCGTGCTCCCTTCTCGCGATCTCTCGCGGCTAACGGCGGGGCCCCGGCAGCACCACGACAACGACGGGTTGCCGTTTTGGGAGTGTTGAGATAAATCCCTGCGGAACGAGCAATCGCGAGCGCCTACCAGACGTCCCAACAGCCTGCCGGCCTTCTCGTTGCCTATTAACACGATCGTGGTACTCGAGAGATATTCGAACGTTTCGAGAAATCAACGAGTCTTGTTTCCCTCCTTTATGGGATTCTTATTACGGAAGAAAAGAACTTTGTCCTCTCCGAAAAGAGAGAAAGAAATTTTTACACAACCGATTGTTCTTGATTTAATCGCAGAAGGAACTTTGATAAATGTTATTTTTTCTTTTTTTTTTGTTTTGTTTTCTATCTCTTCGAGAAACAAGTAGTAGTCTTGAAGTGATCTCTTCACGTTTGAAGCTTCACGATAGGATCGGAAGAATTGCCACTGTTGCACAGGGTCAGTTACCTTCGAGATACCTGCTCAACACCCTACCAACGATATCACCCTTCCTCCCCTCTCTCGTATTCACAGAACGACGATTCAGAAGGTGGTTCCGCCTTTCTTCCTTCCTTCCTTCCTTCTTCTTTTCTTTCTTTCTTTCCTATATTCCTTTATTCGTTTCACGTTACTTAGCTTCCTCCTTTTCTTCTTTCACTGAGAATTATTTAGATTTTTGGCACGAGGTCGATCCTCGTTTATGACCTTCGACTGAAATGGACCCTCCTGATGACGACGATGCTGACGTAGTAACGTTGTTGATCTTGCACTAGCTTCGATGTGATTCTCGCAAAGGATGAGCCCCGACTGGGCCGGTTACCGGCGGACATTGCCGTATTGATTTCCGTGACGACCCCTTCTGTCTTCTCTCACCCTCTTTCCATCCTTCTCTTATTCGCAACCGTGAGCTCTGACGAGCAGGCGCATGTGCGAACTCAGACCGCCTAACTCGGTCGCGACAGAAACGAGGATACGTGCCGATGCTGATACCTTTTGCTTGCTCGATCGCACGAGAGACGAAAGTGAGATGCTAGAAATGGAATGAGAGAAAGCTTTGGGACAAAGGAAACTAAGGGAAGGGATTTTGCCGAAGGGCAGAAAAGCTTTTCATCGTTCGAACGCGTTATTATTGTTTAAAGCCCTATGCGTCTGTCGAGAGAGAAAAACACTCGGAAATCTTTTCTTTCTTTATAGAAAGAAACGATACATTTTTCTAATTGTTCCTCTCAAAGTCATTGAGAATCAAGCCGATGGGAATAATTTCATGAATATATACACTCGTTATTCCAGTTTCAACTTTGTCTTTACTCGAGATGTTATGTAATATTTGCTATGGATTATGACCCACTTTTTAATCGTCAAGGTTTCTTAAGAATCAAGCACAAGCTATCCTATGCCAATTCATGCATGATTAGATGGTATTTCGGTGCAATGAAGAACTTTCGAAAGATAATATTAACTTTTGCAAAGTTTCGTGATAGCCCAGATTACATTGGGTTTCCTTATAAAAAGATTTTAATTTCATCTTGGGAAAATAAAGTTCTGATTGTGACTCAAATATTTTGCCGAAAGAGGATAAATTAATTTTTATTTAAATAACTTTTATTTAAAACCTAAACGGTAAAAGGGCTTTAAGTACTGTCTAACCAACATAAAGTATTTTATCAATCGGGTTCGTCTGATCAAACACGGGTAATATCTCTTTTATCACAGAGTTTTATTTTTCGGCAAACGGATCGATAGACTAACGCAGGGTATTTTCACGAGACAGCAAAAGATGGAAGCACTATGTTCCTAGCTTCATGAAACATATAATTAACATTATTTTTAATTGCTAATTTAGGTACTTATAAAATTGTCAAAATTTGCATGTATATATTTATATTAAAAAGAAAAAAAGTATCTTTTTGAAAGATATCTTTTTGAAGACAATTCAAACGTTTTCGATGGAACAGGATTAAAAATATCGTAAAGATTTTTGAATCCCATAATTTTAAACTCGTTACGAATCTCATTTGTTCGAAGATCATGAAAAAATTGTTTATCTATTCCTTTCTTGTAGCTATCAAAGAAATTTGTAATAAACTTTGAAAAAATGAACAATGTATTAATTTTTTTTTTTTTTTTTTTTTTTTATTGAGCTAATGCAAATATGTATAAATTTAATTATTCATTAATGCTCAATGGTTAAAACAAAATTTAACTAATTCCATCTAAGAACGTCCAAGTTTCTTGACTAACGTAGCACTTCTGCTCGTTTGTTCTCCTCTGGGGGATAGTATCTTATCGAGATGACCTTACTCGAAGCTTTCTTACTCTAACGAACGAAAAACATCCAAATCAGGATGAAAATCATAACAAGTAAAAAGAATCTTACGTTCGCATAACACAAAATATCAGAATTAGATAATCGAATGATGAAAAATAAATAGCTTATTTTGCAAACTGTTCCTTCTAATCGTTCTAATCTTAACTTCGTTGTTGAATTATGTAAACGGCCTAGAGTCTGTTGCCTTGCTAACAAAGTCAGGTCTCATACAGCTCGTAAATAATCCGGAAGCGTGAGCTTACCGTCAAACGTCGTTTCTATGCTTGCTCACCTATTTATCGTACTTCCCTTTCCATGTATAAGAGTTCAACCCAACGTGTCTTGCATCCTTTTGTTCCTAGATGTAAATGTCCTTCTACGTCATCCTTATCTTCGTTTAAAACGAAGACGAACATTTTTCTCATGCCAATTCAAGGAATAGTATTCGAATAGTCGTGCGAATAGCCGTACCGAAGGATCTCATTACGATCAAGCGTCGACGTAGCAAGAAATGAGAAGGAATGAGTCGATTCAATTTGTACCGGTCGAAAGTGAGATAGAAAAGAAGAAGACGGGATTTGCGCGTAGGTAGATGAAGCTCGAGTGGAGTTACTTCGGAGTAAATCAAGGTCGAGAGGGAAATACGAAGGATTACCGTGGCGTCAGAGAGAACGTAGATTCGATTCCCTTGGGTGGTTTGATTTCGTTCTCTCTGTATTCCGTACTTTTCTATGATTCTTTAAAAAAAAAAAAAAGAAAAAAAAAAAAGAAGAGAAAAAGAGAAAAAAACAGAGAAGGAGACAAGAGGTGCAATCATAAGGAAAAAATCAACGAGAGTTTCCACGCTCTATTACGATCATTTTGAAGAGAATCATTTTTTGTTTTTTTTTAACATTTTGTTGCATTCGACAGAATTGTGAAAAAAAAAATTATTATTATTTTAATTGTAAAGCAAATGACAAAATAGGAAAGAGTCTAGGACAGTGGACGAATGAAAAACGTGAATTGAAAGAAGAAGAAGAAGAAGGAAAAGAGAATAAGAAGAAGAGGGAAAAGAAGAAGGAATGAAACGGGGAAAGTTAAAGGAGAAGAAAAGAAAGAAGAGAAAGAGGAAGCATAAGGCGAGGCTTGCTAAGCAGATTTAACGACGGTGGTGTCGCTCGGCGGTCGGTGAGTCGCCTCAAGCTTGAATAGAACTTGGAACCGCGAAGACAAGGGCCATTATACTGGCACGTAAAGCCACGTCAGCTAAAGCCTCGAGTGTTCCTTCTTCCTTTGCATCTTCAACAGGCTTCTCTCCCTCATTTCTGACGTCACGCGGACTGGCACAGTAGTACCAGTCAACCATTTCGTCTCCTTCCCTTTCGACCTTTTTTTTTTCTTTTTTCTTTTTCTTTCGTACTTTTCCCTTTGGTTCTTCGATGTTCGAAATTTTATCGCGAAAGAAATACACGTGTGAATACCTAAATGTTTTCCATCTGTTCCTTATACTGTTTTACAATCTCTATTTCGCTTCATTAACATCCTAAAGAACCTTCAAAGGTATGTTCGAATCGTATTCACTTTTTCCTTTCTTCTTTTGGCAAAGTTTTTTACTGGGTCAGAAGGATGATTTCGTTCGGAAGTAAAGTATGTCTTTTTCTCGAGTATGTTACTTTGAAATTTGTCTACTTTTCGAAACAAAGGATATAACGACAATTCTTTAGCTTTTCATTTTTCCACAAATGTTGGAAATATTGAAAATAACTTTTACAAAGTATTATGCATACGTAATACATAAAATATTATATAATGTATTATGCAATATATATATATATATTTTATGATAATTTCAAATTGCCGAGCACAGATCTTTACGGAACACTAATTTCTTATTTGTCCCAGTTTTATTCTATCTTCAACCAAATGTAATTGTCACGTCGCTATTGAAGACATTATATTTGAGGTATCCTTGAAAATCTTTTCGAGACAATCGTCAAAAGAAATTTAAAGGAATCTAGAATGTTTCCGTTATTTCTACTCATTCCATGATATCAAAGGAAACCTCAAACGTTTACAATGAATTCTCGGTTATCTTTAAGGCTAATGGTTTTAACAGTACAACTTCTTCCTTTCAAAACCATTTCATCTAAAGCGTTTTCTGTTTAATGGAAAAGTGATATCAAACTTAAGATAGGTTTTCATTTTTTATTTTTTAACAACCATTAAGAATGTTCATAAATGAACGAACAAGGATATTCTCTTGTTTCCTTATATACTATGTGGTACGAGTTATGTTAATGTCTTTACCAAGTTTCTCATTTGCTTGTGTGAATAGATTTTCCTAGACATATTGTGAACATAATCTGTGTTAATCTCACACCATGCGTTGCTTCTAAATATATTATCTTCCCAGGAATCTAAGAAACAACAACGTTTCACTACGTTAGATGTAGGACGGAATAATATAAAAAAAAATGTCCTTGTCACGTTGGAATATGTATTTTAAAATAAAATGTAATGATAAATCGGACGAAATTTTTCTCGTGGGATATTTTCCGCAAAATAACAGTTTCATTCTTCGCGAAAGGTTTATCACGATGACGTTGCAAAAATATCAGTCATTCGGCAAAAGTTTTTCTCTAGGACATACAGAAAATATTCTTTAAAAATATCACGTTTTAAAGAAAGTTTTCCATTGATCATAGATCAAGGATAAATTGATATCGTTCTAACGGAATATTTATAATGAAAATAATAATATTAATTGATTTCTATGTTTACTCATATCCATGATAATACTATTTGCAATAGTATCTTGGGTATTACTATAAATAGTAGTAATAGCCAAGGTTTAGTTAATTCAAATAAACAAAATGCGTACGTGTATTTTGAAAATACCAAAAACAA